AATTTTTTTTATAAAATAAATTAAGATAATGTAAACAGATAATTTAATTCAATTTTGGTTGACCCATAAATGAAGCGGTTTTTGTGTTTTTCGAATAACTTAGCAAGTGAAGTTAATTCCAGTGAGGAACTTTTATAATTATTATCTTAATTGACAATCTTTTCACTATTTAATTTGATGAAATGAAAATAATTAATTTCCTTGTTGGTGATAATTTCTTTTTAAAAATATTAGGTAATTAAATATCTACCAGTCATGAGCAAGAGAAAAAATTTCACTAACCTTACTTCAAATATATTCGAATTTTACTAACTATTAATTCCTTTAACTAAATATTATTAACAATTTTATTTGAATGTCATCTTGAAACAGTCTCACATTATCAATAATTTGACTGTTCTAATAATTAATCAGCATAATTATTCTTTTGTGTGTCGTGCTGGTTACAAATCACGTGTTTTTGTGAAGGTTCGCAACATGCATACCGAGTATTATGAAAGAAAAAAAAGAGAAGCAGTTGTGTTCTACTTAGGGGCTTGTCGCTGCATAATCAACAAACTCCCACGCAAAAAAAAATATCCAAAATAAGAATTCTACTAGAATGTTTTGTTTCTAAATTAATTTTAAAATAACGATATTGTCACAGGTCACGTTGTAAAACATTTGACTACGAAATCATTTAGTTTATGTTGTGAAAAGATTTTTTTAATTGTTAAAAGTTAAAAATAGCAGGATAAACACTTGACTGTTTCAAACATCCTTTCAATATTTTTTTAATCTTTCTTTACCGCTTCCTTTCCATTCCTTGATTTAAAACTTCGAAATAGATCTTGGAAGAATCAAGTTGTGGTCAGTTGTGAATGACTTTCAAGTAAAAAATTTTAGAATGGTTAAATTTTAGAAATTTTTTCGGGTTTTTTTTTCCAATTTTTAGGGTTTTAAAATAAAATCAATCAACATAGCAAGAGTTGATTGGCTTTTATAGAAAATATTTACGACGTAAACTTTCGGTACACGAAAGTGAAACATAAAATTCTAATTTGGACATATTAAATCAAATGTGGACAGTTGTTCGAGCCCACAAATGATCAGTACCCAAATTACATAAACCACTCTACATAAATGTGCTTGGAAATCCAACCCTATGAAACCTTTGAGGCTAATTGAAAAATGAATATCAATGGTACTTTATAAAACGTGAAAAACATTAATAAATAATAAAATATATTTTACTTTAAACAAAGATAATAATTTTCCATCTAACAAATTTATTTGTCATCATGTTTCAATTTCTTTTGACATTCAAATTAAATAACTCAGTTGGATACGACTTGTCGCTATATTTAAATATGCAGCATTCAATGCTGTTATGTTATTCCTTGAAATAAATATCTAATTATGAAATTTCCTTCTTATTCAATTGATGATAGAAAATGGAAAGCACAGAATCGACTCACAACACGAAAGCTTCTGATTCTGCCTACAGTAACTTTTGCAGTAACAGTCAGTCAGAAAACAACAGTGGAAATTCAAGTAAATCGAGACATGATGGAAACAATTCTCCAGGATCATCCGGCTATGGAGGAAAACCACCAACGGGGCATCCACTTCCCCAGCCATTATCAAAACGTTCAAAAGATCGCAAGAAGAAAAAATTAAAAAGCACAATTCATGCAAACGCATCAACTGAGGCTGACGAAAGAAATGTGGTCATAACAGAAACTATTCTCGATAACAATGTTGAAAGAATCACAGGTTTGTTAAAATGCTAGCAAACATCTCCAATCTTGCATTTAATTTTCAGAGGAGAATGATGAACATCATCAGCAACAACTAACAGAAAGTTCAACATTAATCAACGCAAAAACATCAGACGGAATTCAGTCTCCAGCCACAAGGAAAACATGTGAAGAAGACTTTATTAATCCAGACATCAGTAATGTCAGTTCACCAAACTTCCAACAACCTCGCGAACCTACAAAAACAGAGAAAAACACTGACGAAGGCTTTTGTTGTGTGATGTCAATGCACGATGGAGTTGTTTTGTAAGTTAAATTCAATAACATTTTAAATTATTTCTTTAGTAATTTTGTAAATTTATTTCATACTTATCAGATACACAACACCGTCTATAACAAACAGCCTTGCATTTCCTCGGGATATGTGGTTAGGAAGGAGTTTCATTGATTTCGTTCATCCCAAGGATAGGTGTGAAAGAAATATTCTTAATTCCAGTAGTGATGATTTACTTATTCTCCCTTTTTCGTTCTCTTTTAAAAGGTCAATATTTGCAAATCAAATCACATCTGGAGTTGCATTGGCTGAAGCTCGCAGCAGTAAAAATAATACAAAACAGTCACTGTTTGCCATGTTGCGACGTTATCGTGGGTTGAAATCAGGCTTCGGTGTTACGAATAAATCTGTCAGTTACGAAGCTTTTAAACTCAATTTGACATTTCGCGAAGCGCCGCTTGATGAGGTTTCTCATGATGCAGCAACACCATCTGTTAATTCATCAATGCTACTCATTATCAGTGCAACACCGGTCAAGACTTTCTATAAAAGTAAGCATAAACTGCTTGGATACGTAATCATTCATGACATTGATATTCAAAATCAAAGCACATGGATGATGACAGATTTAATTCAAATTGTTATAAGTATCTTATTACTTTCTTTCTCTTCTCTCTTTCTTAAGAAAATGATGAAGTGCTAGCAGGAACACGTGACCATGCCGAATTTACAACACGACATACAGCGTCTGGTGTTCTTAGCAATGTTGATGGTACAGCAAGTCTTCTTGGCTTCTTCCCACAAGACATTTTGGGTAAAAAAATAATGGAATTTTACCACCCTGAGGATATGGCGTTGTTGAAAGGAGTTTATGAAAAGATGATGAAGAAAGGCCGCACTGGTGCCTCATTCCGAAGTAAACCTTATCGATTTCTAACACATAACGGATGTTATATTACAGTAGAAACCGAATGGTCAAGCTTTGTAAACCCGTGGTCGCATCATCTTGAATTTGTTATTGGATATCATAGTGTGTTGAAAGGACCGACAAATCCGAATGTTTTAGCTGAAAATACTTCAGAAGGGAAGGCAAGTTTTCCCGACAACGTGCTTAAAAAAAGCAAAATTATTCAAGATGAAATTTTGAAACTGTTGACTGAACAAGTGTCAAGACCGACAGAAACAGCAAAGCAACAAGTATCGCGACGATGTCAAGTGCTAGCAAGCTTTATGGAGACACTTCTCGAAGAAGTCACAAAGACTGGTTCAAAGAATGACATGCAAGTTGAAAGCATGAGTTCATCTGACTCCCCACCAAGCTACAATCAATTGAACTACAAAGAGAACCTTCAAAGATTCTTTGACAGTCGACCTGTTACAATTGATGAATCAGAAGTGCAAAAAATGGAACAAACTGATAGCGAACCTGATGCAAGGACAAACATCAGTCCCTCACAATGTTTTGATGAAATGGCAACAAGGACAAATGTGAGTCCATTGCAATGCTTTGGCGGCAGTAGTAGATCGGATAGTGCTGGAAATTTAAGCTCAACAGGCAATGCAAATGCAGAAAGCATAACGAATACATCAAGGGGAACATCAAACAACAGTTACGTTCCACAGAAACTAACTGAAGCTCTCTTATGTAAACATGATGAAGATATGGAAGAATTAATCATAAAACGCCATAAACTCACAAAATCAAGCGGCAAAAGCTGTGACAAAGTGAAGAAATGTTCAGATAAGACAAATGAATATCATTCACATGGTGTCAAACGTTCAGGTTCCCGTTCATGGGAAGGCCAAGGTGATGCTCATAAGTCATCCAAACAACATCACACGGCTGAACCACAAAAGGCAGTAGCTTCAATATTTCCAAATCAAACAAATCCTAATGTTGAGCTGTGGCCGCCTTTTTCTGTCAGTCTTACAACCTTACAAAGCACACTAACAACGTCACAAGCAACAGAATTCCCTGCATCGAATTTATTCCCAACAGTTTATTATCTTGCACAAACCATTCCACAATGTATGCAAAGCGTAATCTATCAACCCTTAATATATTCACACCCATCGACTTTCTATCAAATGAACTTCCAAGCCACTCAATCAAGTCGTAATGAATTGAATTACAACACATCCTATCAGTTTGTAAAGAATGCAACCGTTCCGGCACTGCAAACTCCTGCTGACTCTGATTCGATTGTGCAAAGTTTATCTTTAAAACGTCCACCGTCACAAGCAACTTCAGTCAAAGCTGATATGGGGTCAACATCGGCATCTGTTAACAGGGTATGAGACGTTGAATTTTGTACAAGTTTTTAACTTTTTTTATGTTTGATTTTATGTAGACACATATATTATCAGTTATATTGCACAAAAATCTTTTTTATTTATAAAACTGTCAATTATTGATTTTAAGTTCTTTTTAAGAAAAACATGTTAAAGTATTTAAATGAAAAAAATGTTAATAATATTAAGGGAGGAAGACTAACAGTTCTTTCACACAGGCGCTTTCAGAAACTTCAAGAAAAGGTGTGTTGGCTGATTCACCACTCCCGCATGATGGTCCAAGTGGATTAAATATTAATGACAATGTGAGTTATGATTGATTCTTGAATAAATCATATCGAAGCCTAAAGAGGCTTGTTGAGATATTTAATTACATTCTATAATGTTATATCTAATTTGCAATTTTATTAATTAATAGGAGGCAAGTGGATTGATTGGAATAAGCGAGGATGAATCAAACTACTCAAGTTTCTATTCATCATTTCTTAAAACTGACGAAGCTCCATCGTCATCAAACGAAGGTCGAGGAGAGAATTCAACTATTCAGAACAAAGCTATTCAATGGGATGAAATATCAAAGCCACCAATTCGAAGAGCTAATCCTCATTGGATTGAAAATATAAATTTAACGAATGAACTTGTGTTTCGTTATCAATTAGATGCAAGAACTCTTAAAGATGTTCTGAATGATGATATGTATACTTTGAAAAAAATTCACCAGGTGATATTATTAACATGTAGGATTTTAAATCGAGACTAACTGTATTTTCTTCTTCTTTCTCTCTTTATTTTCGTATTGCAGCCTGATTTAGTGAATGATCAACTCGATCAGCTTTACTTGGATCTTGAAGTCGAAGATTCATCAACAAGAATTGCATTGGAATCAACATCAGGAAGCAGCGGTGAAGAGGATAATTCTTTGAAATTAACGAAAAAGAAAAAAATTCATTATAGCAAATTAGTTTTCACTTACGAGGAAAATTGTCCGCTGCCGTCAGAGTAGAAGCCTTTAAAAGATTCAAAGAGTTTGCACAACTCAACATACATAAAATATTAAATAAATAATTTGTGAAAATTTAAAATGTATAGAAAATGTGTAAAAATGTTACTTGTGCAATTCCTTTATTTAATTCAATTAAACAAAATATATATTTTATTACGAGTTTAAAATTTTAATTCCAAATATTTTTAATTAACGGTATAAAACCGTTTCATTAATCGATGCGTTTCATAAATGAAACTTTTCAGAAAATGAAAACAATGGAACGGGATGGAATTATCTGCTTTCCTTAATAACACTTTAAGGAAACACTTTTCAATTAAAATATCTTTTACAAAGTTATCCACTTTGAGCTTCTTAATCGATTGGCATTTTCACATTTCTAATTAAATTAGGCAAACATTTTTCAAATACAGTAAACAGTTTTTCTATACAACTCAATAATTAAATAACCAATTGTCTGAAGACATTCTGCATAAAAACTAAACTGGTCGCGACATTTTCGCGAAAAAAGGCGGTTTACGTATGTAATCAGAATTCGTACGTGACTCACGACGTGAAGTTGCAGCCAGCTTACATGTACATGCGGCGTCATCTCGCGGATATTTCTAACAACTTTGAATATTTCATTTGTTACAATTAAATTAACGCAAACCGAGCATCGTAGGATGTATTTTCACATTTTCCCAGTGAAGTAAAAGCTTTTTTGTCTATTTAAAGGGATACAGCAAATATTAAGCTGTGATAAAACTTCTTCTACATCAATTTCTTAGGAAAACATTTTGATTCGCTGAATATTTACATAAAACAATAACAAAAGTTGGGAAAACTAAAGATTACAAGAAGTTTTTGATTGCAAAGACATGTCAAACGACGAAAATGAGCAAGAAAAAGAGTTAACACCAGAGGACTACAAAGAAAAAGGAAATGCTTGTGTTAAAGAAAAGAATTACAAAGAAGCAATTTTGCATTATTCAAACGGACTTAGAAAGAATCCTGTTGACTTTTTTCTCTACTCAAATCGAAGTTTTGCTTATTTAAAACTTCATCAATACTATTACGCATTGTGCGATGCTGAGAAAGTCATCGAAATACGTCCAGATTTTGTTAAAGGATATTTCAGAAAAGCTGAAGTGTTACGAGAAACATTTCAATATGACGAAGCTTTACTGAATTATGGCCGAGCTCTCAAACTTGAGCCGAATAACGATGTAATAATATCGAATCTGAGACTGACTGCCGGGATGTGTAACCGTGAAACAATGCTTGAAAAGAATGTTCCATGGGTTGGTGCTGGAGTTGGAGTCATAGTCGGATGTGCCATTGTGATTTCAGATCAATTCACGAAGACTCCTTCAGTTAGACATCCTATTTTAATGGTGCTTCTAGTTATGATTGCAGCTTCTATTGGATTTGCTATTGCAAAATCATTTCGATTTTATTTGAAGTTTCACCGGAAGGGAATGATTGAAGCACCAACAGAACTTTCCGAAGATTTCCTTATCAGAGATTCAAGTCCTGATGCTGATGAAGACGAAGAGCAGATGCCCAAGAAGCGTAATCGATACAGCAAGTCGCAAGCTCGCTTTCGAATGAAAAAGGCTAAAACATAAATTATTGAATTCAATTCTTTAAATTTTTATTTTTCAATCAACTTATCTTTGAAATTTAATAAAGTTTTAATTTAATTTCTTACCTACTTATAAAGTCAGCATTTTCTTTTCATCATTAATCAGGAGAGTTCTCATTTAACAGGAAATTAAAAGTTTATTTAAAGCAATTATGGAAGAAATTGGAGATTCACCTTTAGTTGATGAAATGAAACTGGTTGAGAACAAAACAATTGAATTTGAACGAAATTTAGATCAATTCAAGAAAACTTTGGACTTTGAAGAAGATCGTTTAACAAAATTAACAATGAAACGTGAAAACTTACAGAAGGAGATTGACAGCATGTACCAAGACATCTTAATGGAGAAGGAAAAATATCGCAAAACAATCGAAAATGTTATTGAGGAGCGAGAAAAAATTGCTGAAGAATGTCACATTAATTTAACTGAAAATGTTTCATCGTTGAGTCTGATTGAAAAATGTGAATCAAAAGTTGAAGCATCCAAGGAAATCAACTACAACATTGATGTTGACATTGAGAAGATTCGTTGCGACTTGATGGAAAATTACATCTCAGCAAAGGAAGATTTTTTAACGACAATGAAAAATCAGATTCAACAGCAGAAAAAGAAACTTTCATTTGATAATCCAACATTATAATTTTATAAAAATTATATTTTATTGAAATTTTCACAAATTAAATCATGAATTTGTTTGTTTCTGGAAGTACCTTCGCCTTTTCTTTTTTTTTTCTTATTTGTGATGGCAACGGCTCTGAATGTTGTGAGTCTATGAGGCGGTGACAAACTTTATGTGAGACTTTAAAGTTTTTTTTGTGCACTAATATTTAATTGGTACATTTCAGTCCTTTATTAAATGATACGAAAATTAAGAGCAAAGCAAAGGAGGGATTTACACAGCGCATTTATTCTCGATGAAGCAGAACATAAATCGCTAAAATACCAAGAATGGCGTACTTGAAGTTTGGATATTCATTCATTAGAATTGTTATCATTCCAACGTATGGTAAGAAACCTCGAGCCCTTCCAACAATGTCTTTTTTCGTAAGCCAAAGTTGACCAGGTGCGTAAAGCCCTCGATCATCAACAGAATTATTGTCACCTTTGGTTAAAAATTTCACAGTTCCATCAGCTCTAAAGAATTAAATCAAATTTTAGATTTAAATTAATTGCAATGAAAATCAACGCTTACTTTTCGTGTAATTTGATTACTCTGTGCACAATGGGAATGTCTCGACCCTCAACTTTGAACACAACAATTTCACCGACACGTACTGGTTCTTCAGGATAATTTGTAAGGAATAAAAGATCTCCTCTGTGAAATGCTGGCTCCATTGAACCACTTAACACAACTACAATAGGAGATTCACTTCCCGTGACAACCATTAAACCCTTCCATATCATGAGAGCTGATGAAACAATCATACCAAAGCTCAATACTTGATAGAAAAACTGAAAGAAAAGAAAATAAGATTCGTGGCGGTTTTCCAAAGTAAAATGAATTATATACCTGACGTTTGTCCATTCGCTGAACATCCCCGAAGAGACTATCAGCTCCAATAGCTTTTAAAACGCTCATTTTAATTTAAAGTTGTGATTAATTCCACGTATTTTCCTTACAAAAGGAATCGAATCTTAAATTATAAATTTCTTACGTGTTGGGGTTGTATGTTGTGTAAGTCACAATGAAAAATGCGGTTTTTGTTTTCAATAAACTTGTTCAGGATTGGTCGCTTAAAGTACCGATAATAAACTTTTTTCCATTTCTAATTTGATTTACTTTGTCACAATCATTATTCAATGCAGAGAAATAGTTCTTGTGGTTAATCTGAAAATGTCTGACGTCATTTATTAAACATTTCTTTAAATTGTTTGGAAGGCTGAGCGTTTATTCAAAAAGTTAAAAACTGTTTATTTTTAACAATCTTTGTTTGCATATCTTTGATTGATAATAAACTTGAAAGCTTCAAATAAAGTAATTCTTTCATAAAATTAACATTACTTCTAGATTTTTGAGTTCACTTTTTTGTATCAATTTACTTTTAAATCTCATAAAATGTATTTTTCAACAAGTAGGCATGTTCGGATTAATCTTCAACTAATAAATAGAATGACGCACAGCGTGAACTCACACATAGGAAATCATTATTCAAAACAAAAGTTTATTTGCAATAAAAATTATCAAGTTTATTGTTTATTGGAGTGAATGTCTGTTGTCGTTTATGTTTTTGGTAGTTATTGTTTTCATGTAGTACAACTGACTTCAGTTTTAATCCGTACGCGCAGCTTATCACAAACTCTTGACTTTTTTTACGAAAATATAATGTCAGTGCAATCAATCGATACTGTGAGCTCTTGTGAAATTGTCGGCAGTGACTATGAAATGCTTAAACCACAAAGTCCAAATCTGTCAAGTAAATCTGAAGTCATCTGTTCCTTCTCCTTTAAAGAACCTGTTCCTGGAACTGCTTTTATAATAACTGGTGTTGTGCTTAAATCATGTGAGAGATTCTCAATCAATTTATTGACAGCTTCAAGCAAGCAAGATGTTGCTCTTCACTTTAATCCACGTCTTCCACAGAATTACATTGTTAGAAACTCGAAAATTTCAGGTAAACGATAAGAAAAAAAAACAAATGAAATGTAAACATTGTTATGACTCATTATCTCATTTATAGGCCATTGGGGTGAAGAAGAAACTTGGAGTCAATTTTCAGCACGTTACGACTTATTTCGTGGTCATAGGTTTTCAATTGAGATCTTAATTACTGATCATGAAATCCTAATGGGTGTTAATGGTAAACATTTCGGTGCTTTCGCACATCGACTTCCTTTCCGAAAAATCAATGCAATTGAAGTCAAGGGCGATGTGAAGGAAGTTGCTATTGATCAAATGTATCGCGATACTTATCCTCAAGTGCCAATAGAAAATATTCCATCCGAAGAACCATCAAAAGATGTCAAGTTTAAAATTGTCCCTTACATTGCGAAAATTTCTGGAGGGTTCACAAGGAACAAAATAATTCATATTTATGCGAAGGTGAAAATGCTACCTCACTCGATAACGATCAATCTTCAACAAACACCTTATTTCTGGCCACATCCAGTAATTCCACTTCATATTAATCCCAGATTCAGTAATCAAGGTGGACGTCACATTATTTGCAGAAATTCCTGGGCAAATGGACGTTGGATGAAAGAAGAAAGGACAGATTTGATGGCACATGACTTGTCGCCAGGAAAGTTTTTTAAAATGTCAATTGAACGTCGCTTCGATGATTACGCAATTCAAGTAAATGGTAAACTTTTCGCCGAATATTCTTTTCGATGTGATGCAAACATTGTTGATACAATTAATATCTTTGGTGACATTTGTTTAAAGAAAATTTGGATCGAAGAGAAGACATTTAATTGAGATATATTTCTTATGAATTTATAATACAAATTGCAAGTTGCAAAGTTGCAACAAATATTTTATTACAATTATTATAATGCTATAAAATTTATTAAACAGTTTGTCACCTTCGCTTGTAAATTTCCGAATAATAACAATCTTGAATATTATTATAAACAACTTACTAATGTGTATTGAAAGTTGAACTATTCTCAATAAAAATTAAAACTTTCCGATATAAAAGCAAACTACAAAAATGTTGTGTTGATGTGTAGACCACGCCTTCGCTATGGGCTGAGCTTAGCGACAAGTTTTATCTCAACGAAGAAGAAAAAAAAGTTTCTCATCGATTCGATTGTCCAAACATGCATCATCGCATCACTATAATGTTACCTAGTTTAAGTATCTCATTCAGTGTCAACAGTTTGATGAACAATATCCATTAAAATCCAAACAAATAAATTTTCTAATTAGCGGAAAATTTTACTTCGAAGAGCGCATTTATGCATATTTTTACTGTTGAGTTTGTAAGTTCACTGAAGTCAAGGGTTGAGCATTGAAAATATTGATGTATTCTGATGATGTTGAATGAGGCAATTAATTAGATAATCAAGTGTTTTGTACTATGAGAGAAATCTAATTGTTTGCTATTGCAATATGCCCTTACCAAGTAAGATAAATATTAATTTTTCTCTTCCATCGATAAATAAAAATTGATTAAAATTGAAGGAAAAAAAGAAGAAACAACGGGCGAGAAGAGTCGATGATTCAATTTAAATCCTCTGTTAAGATAGACGAGCAAATATTTATGATTTATGAAGTTGTACAACGAAGTTGTATAAACATTTTATTTTGCAATTGGTCGTTTACAACAAAGCCTTCGAGCGACATTAATGTAAAGCTTCTGCAAACATCGCTTTGCACTCGCTAAACAGTTGAAGTAAAAGGAGAAGAAAACAAAATAAACTGCATGATTCAAGTCCGAAAGGAATAAATCAGCTTTTAATGGATCTTCAGTAGAATCATGTCATTAATTCACATTAAGTCATCACAAGTTGTTGGGTAATTAGTTGCGTGTTAACGTTTTGATCACAGGATTTATTGAGGCTAATCGGAATTAACTTTCTGGCATGTCCAATCAAGTAGCTGCAACACGTCGAATTAAGAGTAAAAGAAACAGAACATGGAATACGAAGAAAAACATTCCAGTTGACAGGGATTTTGTTTTGAAACTTAAAGCTTACATGTCATGACAACGATGAAGAAAAACTTAATTTATCGCTTCGAAAAATAAAAACTACAAATTTATTCGAGAAGAAACAAAAAAATATGTTTTTCCATCTTTATCATCAACGGTTTTACATGGTACTTGCTGCTTCTCGCGCTATTAAAGGCTAATTTAAATATTTAACTCATCTAAACGATAACTGACTATGCTATTATGGAATGAATATGCTACTTTAAAGCGAAATAATTCCTAAAAGATTAACTTACTTAAATTATTTATTGGTCACAAACAGAAGGGGAACCGCTTACAGTTTTTTTTTCTAATGATTTAAGGCATTTTTTTGTGTTTTTTTTTTCATTTTTTCCTATTCAAAAGACGGTCGACTTTATAAGAAATCAACAAAATGACATCTTAAAAGTCAACACACAAGGTCTTCTAGCTACTGGCCGCTTAACAGCTTACGCTTTTGCGCTTCTTAAAACTAATATTGGATTGGCTTTTTTTTTCTTTTCGGATAATTCACACGCTTCACAGAAAAGCGAAGAGATAATTCTTACAGCAAACAAATGAAACTCAAAATGTCTTCGTCTCTTAACATTCGATCACTTAACGCGACGACATTCAAGCAGCTTTTTTTTTCTTCTTTAATTCTCTTTTCTTTTAATGATTACAACCCCGCGCACGCTCTAAGACACTAATTTAATTTTTGCCATTCAACTGAAGCGCGTGCGATCGTCTCGTCATCGAGTAATACATGCTGCCCATCTTTAAACAGCCCCGTCTTTTGTCTTTTTATTTTAACAGTTGTTGAAGTTGAAGCTTAAATATCGTTTTTTTATTTTTCTCCTTTTTTTTGTCGCTTGTCGAAACTCATTAATGATTAACACAAAAACGGTAAGTGCAGAATATTCACATTGTCTCGGTTGATGGTGACACTTCGAAATTAACTAATTTGTATTATTATTAAGCAGATCCTCATTTTTCATGCTCAAATCAATCGGATTATTCTGGATGTCATCACAGATGATGGGAGGGGAGTTTGATGATGTTGAATGAGATGGTGAATTAACGTCAACTTTCAATGGTGGCGAGTTTGATGGTGTCACATCATCATTCTCATCGCGATCATCGTTAAACTTATTGATCTTATTAAAGTAATATTTTTGATAGAAATCTGCAGATTTGCTTCCATTGTGAAGAAGATTGTTGTTGATACTCTCTTTATTATTGTTATTATTGTTGTTGTTGCTGATATTATTTGGTAAATTAGCGAGAGGCGATGATGGGAGGTTGGCAGATGAAAGAAAATTTTGTTGTTGAGCGTAGAGATGATGAAGAGAATCATGAAATGGACTGCTGAAGAATGACGGTGGTAGAAAGCTGTGAGCTGAGCTTGCAAGTGGTGGTGGTGGCATCATTTTTGTAAATGGTGAACCGACCAGATGCAATGGTAATGGTCCAAGTGGTGGCATAAGTTGGAAGAATGATGCAAGTTGTGATGGTAAAGGTGGATTTATTGCTGATGTTGGTGTTGGCATCTTTGGTGGGATCTTATGATGAAGTTGATGGGCTTTCTTCTTATCACCAATCTCAACGGAACTGTCAGAATTGTGACTATCAGGTGAACTAATCGATGGCGATGATGATGATAGCGAAGCACGATTATGATTGTTCTTGCTATAATCATCCATAAGGTTGAGAAACATGAGATCATGTGGTTGATGTGGATGATTCGATTGTTGATGTTGTTCGCGTTGTTGCTGTTGTTCTTGAAGTAGACAATGAATCTTGAACCAATTCGAACGACGACCATAACGTGAGCCATTCTTTGACATTCCCACCATCAAGCACTTCTTTAGTCGGCATGCCTTACAAGCCGTACGATTCTTTTTGTTGATCACACACTCGCTATTGTTTTTGCATTCCGATATTGATGATAAATTGTTGTATGATCTACCAAAAAAGGACTGCAAAGAGAGAAGAAAAGAAAGAAATTGAGAATTATAAATTTGTCGGAACTTTGCTTCTTCTTTTTGCTTGCGATTCGTAGCAGTGGAAAATTTGCGTGGCAAGGAAAACATTGACGACATTCGATTCGATTCGATTCGTGAGGGAATTGTTTGCATTTCTTATTTACACATAAGGAGATAATTGAAAGCATCAATCTTGTGTCTTAAGTTTCTTTGAGGGATTAATGGAAGGTTAATGACGGATTAGGGGATTCTCGTCGTATTTTTATGTAAAGAAATAAAGTTAAAGTTCAATAGGGATTTAAATTTTATTGTGCAAAATTATTTGAGTCATAAATTAAATAAAAATGTAATAATTTCTGATCTTAATAACGTTGATTAAACTGCTTTAATTTAATTTAAAAAATGATCTCAGAATTGCATGTAGATAATCATAATAACTGCTTTTATTTATTTCACATTAACCAACTTAACTTCAAAAGTTACCAATGATGCGTTAAGTCAGCGTAAGATTTAACATTTAAAGTCTCTCATTTATTTTCTAAGTAATGACATAAAATGCTTCGCAATTAAATTAAATTATTGAAACTTGTTATGCAGCTTAATTGCCACTTGTATGAAACGCAACTTGCTTTAATTAATTCACGGAATGAAGCAATGTAAGTACATATGTAAATGATTATAAGAAGAGTCATAAGAATTTGTTGTTTCCAAAAGCACAAGCGAGTCAGTATCGTTGATCTTTACCGATCACAAATAATTCGTTTATTGAAGTTAATAAAATCGAATGATATAGCTGAAAGTCGGTAAAGCGCAGTCGGTGGTGCGATTACCGGTTTATTATTAATTAATTATAGCAAATGTTCATTGCCCACAGTCGTTAAAATTTCTCTGCATTGACTTTCAGATCTCCGCAAGTCACAAAAATAAATAAGTAAAAAAATTTCTGATAAGAATAAAATCGTATTTATTACAGTTTTAATGGCTCACAAAACTCTTAATTTCTTTCATAAATATTGTTCGCTTTTAAGAGAACTTTTAAGTTAAATAGTCGGCTCTTTGAACTGAATTCAAATTTCGTCAATAAATTTCATTGAAAATTAGTCGAATCGTAAATTATAGAATTGTTTGCTGATAAAAAAGATGAAACTTACTTTGCATCCTTCGCAGGTAAACGCTCCGAAATGAAAGCCTGCTGCAGGCTCCCCACACACTTTGCACTGTTGGTTCATGTCGTCTCGTTGATGATTTGTTCACTGCTTCTCGTGTTATTTTCACGTTTCAATATTCCGCTGAAATGTCAGAATGAGAAATGATGAACAATTTAGAAACGCACATCTCTTGACGGGCATCACAAACTATTGACTTGAGCGCGGATATCTCGAGTACTAAACTTAGAAAGGATCATAAATTAACAATTAGCTTCGCGCGCGGCTATTGTTTTGAACTGGAATAAGGTAATTAAAAGCTTTAGTGTCGAGGAAAGAAGCGTTTTTACACCCGTAAGCTCAAAACTTAAGCTAAAAAACAGCCTCGAGTCGTCAATTGGCGCGAAGGAAATTTTTCGTGTTTGGTACATCGCACAATTAATCACAACGTCATTTATCATTCATATGCGAAGCGGAAAAGATGTGTTTATGACTTTCAAGAGCATCACAAGAGCATCTCATTTAATGACTGTTAAAGTCATTCTGAGAATCTGATGTGCTTCTTCAGTTGGTCCGTCACACATGTTAAAATCATTCTAGAAGAATTGATTTTAAAGTTTCAATATAAATTAAATTTATTTGATTATTTACAACTCCTTCTTTTCAGATCACGCCGTCTTGTTTACCATCTAAAGGAATGTAGTGCTCATAAAAACTGATTTCCATAATTTACTGAACATAAAATGACCGACGCATGTCCGTCAAAATCAATTCTATTCTATTTAACATCATCTTCAAAGAAATGAAGTAAAACACGTTGTGATCATTTGTAAGATTAATTTAATTAAACGAATGTGAATGATTTCCAAGAAAATTACCTGATCGAGATCCGCTTTTGTTTCGTGAGAAATTAGAATCACGTTAAAATGATGTAAGATCTTCGGAGTAAAAGTATTGAAGTTTTATTTTTAGGATCGATTACGATTTACGAATCTCTCACAATTCCCAAAAAGAATGTCAATTTTTTTGACCACTGAAATCTTGTTGAATTTTGATATTTCTCAAGCAGTCAATCGAGAAAGCGAGATTATCAGTGATACACCAATTTGTTATTTTTATGCCACACTTTCTGAATAAAATTGAATATTAAGATGCGATGCGATGATCTTTAATGAGTCACGACGTTTTGTAGATTTTTGCTGATCTGATTCACTTGCGTTGATTTCAAAATTATTATTGAATGTATCAAGTTAGTTTATGTTGCTGATGATTGTGCAAAATTGTTGGTTGTTCACTTCATGAATGAATTGACGAAGAAAATAAATTATTTCGATATTCCAATTGGCACTAATAAATCGCTTTTGGGTAATCAACAGGTGGTTGCTTCACCAAAGTTTGTTAATTTATTCACACGCACGGCACAAGAAATTGCTTCTCTATTAACCGTCCACCGTTGACCGTGCTTTATCACACAACCGATAGGGAAGGAACATTTAATAAACTTTTAAGACACCGCCAAAAGCTCTAAACTCATAAATTTTATTATAATTAAAAATTAGTTCTCCATTCATAGGAATTATTATTTTTTCCTTAGATTTTTACTCGATCCGAGATCATCATAAGTCAATTTTATTCCAAATATTTGATCGTTGTCTCATCCAATCGTAAGTTAAGTTATGTGCTAATGTATATTTATCCAATTTGTTAAGTCATCGGACAGTCTTCTGCTCTTTTCATAATCAATTCAAACAGTTTATGAATTATTGTTTTGTTGATTTTTTATTTTTTTCACCAAAAATGTCGCACATCACATTTCCATTTTCAGACATTATCTTTTCACAAGATAAATTTTTATTTTATTACTTTCCAAACTGATTTTCGTGAGTCAATTTTTTTTTGTTGCTGTTGTTGATGTTTGTTTCCTTCTCTTTTTTACGAAGAAATGTTAAATTTATTATAATCACTTTGATCTTAAATCGATATGTATGTTGTGACACCCGTTGACTTTAACTTTTCATATATGGAAAGTGTCACATTTATCGATTTAATGTGAAGGCATCGAACGATCTAAATGACGATGATTGATTTTTAATTCACTTGAAATCTTCAATTAAATTATTATATAAGTTTCTTCCTATTCTCACTTTTTTAATTAATTTTATTCTTTCGTTTTCTGATAAAATTAATAAATAAATAAAAATTATCGCGAGGGATTGCGCAGTTGAAGAAAAATCGTTTAGCTCGCGGAGAGTATCGAATCACGACTGAATTGAAGGTATTGAGTAGATCACACAACACACAATTCCAATTAACCTGTTTATGGATTTTTTTTCTTCTTTCTTTCCTTTTCTTTACTTCATCTCTTGTTGTTCCTCGTGTTGTGTCTTGGTGTTGTTTACTCTCGTGCGAATGTATGCCTTCTGCGGCTTTTGTATTGTAGACTGAATAAAGTAATTTCTGTTGTGCAAGTTCGACCGCAAGCAACACGGTGTGCTATGGGACATTCAAATACACAAACACACACGCAACGGCCACCGAGAAAAAGAGTGGGATATTTTGACTAACGAATCATGATCAAGCGGGTGTTTTCTAAGATGTTGGAATATAATTTTATATTTTACTTCCAACAACATCGTGCCGATTTTTGTAGATCAATTGACAAAAGATTCATCTCTTAAATATCTTCTTCAATCCAATGATCGCTGATGAAGATTGAAGGTAATTTATGTTCAATTATTTCATCATTGTCATACTTATGAAGCAAAACGATTCATTTGATGATACCTTTTGATGTCGCTTAACGTTTTGAACAAATATGACGTTTGAGGATTTATTTTTTATTGAAGCGTTTTGAGATCATGAAAAGTAATTGATCAACATTTTGGATTAAATTTAACTTGGAAAAGGAGGAATAAAAATTGTTCTGAACTTACGCAACGCAGTAGTTTCTCGTGTATGCAAGCATTTAAATCTTTCTAAGGTCTCTGTGAGGAAATTAACAAAATCATAAATTTTAGTTGATCTTGAAGCGAGGTGATGAGAATCCATTTCAGTCGCTAATTAATAACGAAAACTATATTGAAGTGCGAGTCACAATAGGATATCGACAGACATCGCTGAACAATCATATCGATAATAGATTGAAATCGTATTTTCTCACATTTTGACACTTAATTTTTGTGTATGCCTTTGCTACACAAACAAGACAAGGAATGTCTCATTGTGCCTGCTTTTCATTAGCCTTCTTCTTGTTTCGAACTCTGAAGAAGGCACAAAATGTTTTGAGATAATTTTTTGACACCTTTTTTTTTTCTTTTAAACTTTAGTTTTCAACATAACGTTCCGATATATCACCAAAGATGGTCTCAACAATGAAATTACATTTCGATGATTTATATTCGTTTTCGATTTCTTTTGTGCATGTGAAGTGGAGATAAAAACAAATTTTTAGATGAAAAATGTTCTCCATCGAGACCACAGTGATTTAGATGATCTTGATAACAACGAATTCCTGCTCGGTAATTTCTCAGTTGAATTTCTCTCCTTTCCCTTTTATGGATAAATATCTGAATCTCGTTATAAATATTTAATGAATTATTCTTTATTGGATTGATATTGAGAAACTGATAAGAGAAGTTGATGTGAAACAGTTACGAAGAAAATTATTAATTGCTACCTTACTGAAAAGCAATCTTCAAAAGGATTTTCATGAGAAAAAATTGCGCAATTTTTTTGATTGTTTATTGCCATCAATAAAATTAAATTTAAACTTTACGTCGTTCTTTAACCCCACTGAATGTGCATCTTTAAAAAAAGCCTCGTCAATCTGATCTCTTTTGTAACATTTTATCTTTTTCTTTTGGTTACTGATTTTATATTTGCGCAACATAAGAGCCATTTGAGTGTTTGCAAAAAAAAAAAACAATTTTCCGTTTTGTTTTGCTCGTGATTTTATCATCAAAATATTGGCTGCTTCTTTACTTTGTTTTCTCACCAAAGCAATTTTTATTTTTGCCATTGCATACACTTTGGTGTTGCTTCGTGCCTCTTTTTTTTATTTTGTTGCTTTATCTTGGATATAACAAAAGCCGTAGAAAATTAATTTCTTCTCTCCCCGAAGTCTTTAAGCACAAATTGTGTGTGCACAGTTTGCTTTTGTTTTGCTTCTGGTTATTTGAAGTTTTTTTCTTTCTTTTATGTTTTTTTTTTGGGTCTAAACGCATCGTCATGTTACATTATTTTATTGTGCTTTAATCTTCATGGCTTATTATCGTGTGACAATGAAGTGAAAAGCGATAATATTTATCGAGAATTGAGTTGAAACTTAAAAATATTTTGAGAAACTGTGTGACAACAATGAGAAGCTAATTAAGAGAACAGATGTAAATCGTTGTCAATGCCAGTTTGTGTGATATATGAGGAAGGAATATAAATCGTATGATAATCAATCTTAATTTGAAATCAGCTTCCACTTCAACATCCTGGAAATTTAATATGGTGACAAATTAATAATTTTCATGCGTTTTTTGAAGAAGAAAATTGTCAACGGATGGGGTCATAAATCCTGAAAATCGTTCTTTTTTTTGGATTTTTATATGTTTTGTCATCATTTAACTGATTGTTATCACCTTTCCCTTTGCTTTTGCTTCTTGTTTAATTCTTATTCTTGATCAAAAACATGCTTTACATTCTTGAAACGATCTTGTTTTGGTGTTGCTTATGTTAAAAGGAAATTGTAGATTTCAATTTCTTTTATATAGAAGACTTGTGTACGATGCTTAGGTTGACTTTAAATTTATTGATTTCCAGACTAAGGTAACAACGACTAAGAACTGAAAACTTTTCAGGATGTTGAACAATTTCAGTAGTATCTTATAAGCGTGATCTCATTCTTTCTTAGGGTTGCCGGTTGCGTCTTTTATGACCACGAAGATCTGGCATTCAAACAACAAACTTTTTACGACCTCCACCTTGACTTTATTCACTGGAATTTGTGGTAGTCGAGAACGATTTTTTTTGTTTGTAATTTTATTCTTTTCAAATGAAACTCTGCAGCATTTTCCTTTTTATCAAAAGAAGGTGTGAGATGTTCTGGAGGAGATTAGAAACATAAATCCTCTACACACAAAAGACGATCTTCTTTTAGCAATGCTTCATTTACATTGAATAATTTATTGCCATAAACAAATAATTGATCACATCTCTTTAGTTTCTTAGCTTTTTTTTTGTGGTTTCAAAGATTTGAACAATTTTAAAAAGTACCTTTAAACAAACACTCTTCGCCCATTATAATTGTCTGAATATAAATTAGAATAATATTTATGAAATGCCATAACTCACAATAGAAGTAACGTTTAAGCTTCGATACTTAAGACCTAAAGAGAAAAGCGAGCTTAAACTTTTTTCTTTTTATATTTTCAAAGCATCAAATTCACGGATTTCATTCCGTGAAAATGATAATTATTTCATTGTTATTCAGATGAGTGTTTATTGGATGATACTTAATGACAAAAAAGCAAAAATCGAGAGAGTTTGTCTTCGCATAATTTCTGGAATTTCTTTTCATTTGCCTACCGAAAAAAACATTTTTTTTTTCGTATCATAACAAACGAAAGGAGCTTCGATGTCGAATGAAATAATATCGTAGATTAAGGCATAATGGAGAGAAATATTCATATTTGTGGATTATTTATGTGATCAATTTGGGAATTAACGTGTGCCATGGTAGTAGGTTCCGTCAATTCCACTCGAATAAGATGTTAAAGTTCTCGAAAACCCTGAGGTCCCAAACACATTAAATCTGTTGTGAGACTTCTTTTGCTTTTGTTCTCATTCAAAGAAATGAAAAAAGCTCGAAAAAGTGAACCGTTTAATGAATGTCATCTCATTTGTTTCCATTTTAAATCTCACATATGAACTGAGGTTAAAAAACGTTCAATCGATTTAATTTACAAAGTGATCACTAAGTAAGTATTTGAGTGCAACAAAGTGAAATCTTCTTCAAAAAAAGAAGAACGTAAATACAATTCAAGTCAGCAACAAGGGCCTCGGTTTCGATTTCCTCAATTATAACATCGGATTACTTTACAAATCGTCTTTGACTCTCGGCACAATTGTATTTAATGCTCCCCATGCAGTGAGACTTTCTCAATCGATATAAATAAAAAGACGAAATTAATACGATCTGAAGCATGTGGTTCCATTATACTGTTTAGGGCAAAGTCAAGCAGACAGTAAAATATTTTCTTCATGCCCATTTATAACTTACAACTTCGCAATAAACTCGATTTGATTATGTTACTCGAATAATCCAAATGCCAACATCACAGCATAAAGCACAAATCGATTGAGAGTCTCGCCTTGCACAACTGCTGTTCTATTTATTTTCTTTCTTGATTCACTATTCTCACCTTACTTACCTTTCCCTCCCGAAACGTACTATCAGCAACAAAACTTTCCCATATCGCGCTTGCTGCTGATACTGACAAGAAATAGTTTCTTTCTTTATTTCATTTTTTTCAGAAGGCATCAATACAGAAAGTAGTGGAAAAAAAGTTATTTTCATGTGATGCCTCGCATAACTGGTTCTCTTCAGAAATTGGCATCAAATGAGAATTATTTATCACGTCGTGTTGTGTTGAATTTTTTTTTCTTCTGCTTTTGAGTATTTTATGAGGTCGATTAGGTTATTATTCAAATTCGAAATATATTTAATGTTTTTTTCTTGCTTTTACACATTATTATTGATCTTCTTTTACGGAGATCTTAAGCGACTGGTGGAACAATATAAAATAGTCTACCAAAGAGTTGCCTTTTTTCTTTATTTGTTGTTGTCTTTTTAAATACACCATAGTTGGAGTTGATAGCATAAATAATCTCTAATAGATTAGTATCACATTGTGAATTTTATTTGATATCGTAAATAAGAAGATTCATTTTCTTTCCCCGACTTGTCTTTTCTTCCACCACGCAAGAAGATTCCAATCGACAACAAAAAAATTAATAAAAATTCTATTAAACTAGGCATTAATATTGGACATTTGGATGAATGCTAACGCTCCTTAGGGAAGCACGAGAAGAGAAATATTGGTTACGAGAATTGATAGTTTTAATTTTAATGGCGCAGTTAAAAATGATCATCAACAAATCAACGAGATGAGTAATTTTTGGAATTTATGTTCGACTTCGAAGACTTTTTCTTTCTTTCTTTCTTTAAAAAATCAGATTGGCATTCAATGTGGGCTCAGCAAACGATTTTTTTGATATTTTTCTTTTCTTTCTTATGTCATGTCGAAGCTCATGTGTTGAATTAATGCTGAAATTATTCAAACCTTAAGACGTTTCACTTTTTATATCTATTTACATGATTAATTGTGAAAATTATCAAAATTGTTACTAGGCAGACGATGAAATTGTCACTGAAGTTATTTTCTCGAATATCTATTTCAATTCAAAATTAAATGCGAAATGCCAAAGGTTAGATTTGAAATTTATGCTAATCTTGATTACTAAACCAATTTGATCACCTACTAGATATTCGAAGTCGATTTTCTTTAATAATAAGAAATCTGACGAAAACGACAGCAATCATTTTAATGACTCCTATGAAGAAGTCTCATCACGAGTTCATGTTGTCATGTCGTCTTTTAATCGAGACCAAACCCAAAGTCTCATCACGGGAGAGAATAAAATAAAGCATCGAAAAGAGAAGAATAAAATGTGATTTTGATTACTTCGACATAACAATAAAACTTACGGTGAATTGTGAACTCGGGAGTTTGATTTATACACCTTCTCGAATGGACATCGCTTATCCATCCAGTATAAGTAAATAAGCATTTCGAAATGAATTTAATTAACCTTCTGCACAACCAGGATGTTTATGATGAACGACAAGATAGTTTCAAAAGTCACACAAACTGTAACCGAACAGAATAGAACAAATCAAACATGGAAATAAATCATTTAACACGATAGATGAACTGCTGCTCCGTTCCTAATCGATCTACACATGACACAATATTATTGATGAATATATATAAACGAAGTTTGTAGATAAAGCAGCAATTTTTGATGGACATTACAGCATTAATAAGTACTTACCAGAAGAGTCGATCTTCTCTGTAAAGCAGCATAATTTTCATCGTCAAAAAATTATAAAAAAAAATAAGCAACAACATTGAAATGATGATTTGAAACCATAAAAGTAAAGTTCAGCATTCATTTATTGTATTTTCTGTTCATCATAACAACATTCTATGTACAATAAAATTCAAAACTCAACAGACAATTCCTTGGTGAAGTCATTTGCATGGTTGTTTAACAAACGACATGAAATCCATACGACACAATATCGCACGAAATGGACACACAGAAGCGAACTGCTTTTTGCGGCAATAACGATGAAGAGAAAGAAACTCATAATGGGACATTACTTAATTGTCTTTATGCTCTAAGTCACAGCGAATGTTTTGTGAAATTATAAATTACTGCTTCTCCTCGACATCGAAAATGATGATTATGAGGTAAACGACTCTGAAGTTAAAGCGATTCTCTCACATTAAAAATCTTTAGACCACCCAAAAAAAGAAAGATTTCATCTGCAAAATAGAATCATAGAAGATTGAAAGGCTCAATGTTGAAGTTCAGGTAAAGAATGTAGAACGATGGTGCACAGGTGAATATGTAATCGACAGCGATTGACGGAAATCGTGTCTTGTTTGTCTGTTTAAAGTATCAATAAAACATCAGCAAAAAAATGAGTAAAATCTCATTTCGTTTTGCTATTTTTACGATGCAGACATCTTGAATGAAACTCTCATCGACCAATGATTAAACTTAAATTAATTTGCCATCATGGAAATAAAATCTTTTGCTTTGATGACTTCCACAAATCTTATCAAATGAGTCAGTTTTATTTTAGCTTTGGAACATCACAACCTGACACCATCTGATGACATCGCTCAAGAATGATGAATATCTGTTTATTTGTTGCAACGTTTGGTGGAATATGTTGACTAGACGATACTTAATGGCTCCGGGTATGAGATTTGTCATTTCCATTTATCTTCTCTGATGCTCATGTAAAATAATTACAGGTTGAACCTGATATTAAATCTTTGATTTTAAACACAAGAAACACTTCAAACAGATAGACTTGAAGGCGAAGTTAACATAGATGAGAAGACGAGTCGATATTAATCACGAAGATTGTTCGCTCATCTTCCTTTCGCTTCCCCAACTCATTGGTTTACTTCACATTCTGAAATATATTTTAATTTCATCAGCAGTCAATCAGTCATTTAAATTGGTCGTTTAAAGGTTTCTATTTGTCATGTGTCGGAGATGAAATCTCCTAAAGTTTTTAGAGTTTAACAAATTGGAGGCAGACACGGGTCTCAAGTTTCGTGATGAATCATTTGTGAGAAAAATTACTTTTGAGAGTTCATTTTCGTCCTCCACGTGCTATACTTATGTCAGTTGCGTACGGGAATTCGTCTCTTTTTTTTGTATCGTGGGAAGAAGTGAGATTAGCGATTGCTTCATTTATCGTAAGCGTTTCTTTAAAAACAAAATAAAAGGTTCAGCATTCATCCTACAATGATGATCTTGAACTAAAATTGTCTCCTTGAAATTAAAATTTAATATAGATTAATTTCAAAGAAATATCATCACAGCAACAACACACGAAAATATCATAAACAACACCAATCAAATCACTGCTTAGCATTCGTCTCGATTCAGTCTTTTTCGCTTTCCGTTTTTTTTTCTTTTTGATTTATAACAAGACATTTATTAAATGTTGCGTGAATTATTAAAACTAATTTGTTTTCAATCTTTGAGCACATGGAGAGATGAATAAAAGTTGTTGAAATAGGCGAAGAAGAAGACAAAAAAAGAAATTCAGATTCAGATTAAAATAAAAGGTCGCTGATTGTTGCAAAAGTTGTCGATTTATTAAAAAAAGACTTGCAAGTGTTTTGTTTCAATTTACTGAATTTTAAAATAAATAAAAAATGAAATGAAGTTAAGACTTCAAGGCTGTGTTTTAAGATATTTGAGTATGATATATCTCTATTAATCACAAGATTATTAGGTAGATAAATAAAAACTAAAGAAAGACAAACGACACAGTTATGAAGCCACACAAGATAAATAAAGAAAAAAAAATCAAGAAGTTTGTTTTGATTTTGAGTTGTTCAAGTTTGTTACGCCACTGACAAATGACAATCTAAGCCACATGGAAGATTCATCTCCCATGCTGTCTCATCATAATATTTATATCACATCTCATGATTTCAATTCGAAGACAAAAAAAAGGCACCATCAACAAATTAAGGTCATTAAGCATGATGAGTATTTTTCTTTTATTCTTTCTCCAGCATTCAACTTATGCCTTCATGTCGTGTTCAGTTCACATTTTTTTTTGATGGCAGCTCGTGGGATAGAGACAATAAAAAGAAGAAAAAAAAGTTTATATGGCACGATTGAGTGGTAAAAAGAAGAAGAGTTATTAATTGATTAGCAGAAATCTTCTCCTCAAACTATCGTCTTTAGATGAAAGTTTTTTTTTTCGAGGCATCTTCACTTCAGTTAAAGCGAACTTATAGTCAAGCGATTTTGATCTTCAAGTGAAATGGACATGTGAAGTCAGTTTTAAACGCGTTTTGTGTATATTTATAATATGATGAAAGTTCATGAACCGTGCGAAATAATAAAATAAAAAAATATTATTAAATGTTCACAATTATAGCGCGCGCTTGCACATTGAGATTTGAGGAAGAAGGGGGAAGAGCGAAAAATATCTGAAGGAAATTAAAAATCCGTTAATTTTATCTAGCCTTGAGACGGAAAATTATTAAATACAGCTTAATACGAGCTTATGCCCGAAGATTATCGAGTGGTAAAGTGCTATTAAGAAGTCGCCTCGCTAGTTCACTATTCGAGTTATGTAGACACACAACGAAGCAAAAAAAAAGAATACCAAATTCTTGCACTTCAACTCTAAACTCCGATTTCGTGCGCTATCGTTTCAAAGCTTTCTTAATTCAATTAATGCCATGCCACAGCGATGATCTTTATGCGCACTCGCCAACCCGTCAAAAATCTCACACAGATCGTCTTCGAAGAGATGAAAAATGTTTATATAAAGTTAAAACACATTTGATTAAGCGAGCACAAGGCAGAATCATTTATTAAGTGATGCGATAGGTGAAGGAGAAGAAAATGTTCTTCTTTTACAATTATTAATCACCACAAAAGATACTTCATAACATGATTATTTTTTTAACGCTCCAATGCCTGTCACGTCGCTTAAATCCATTCAGCATTCAACACCACAAAAGGCACAAGTGCGAGATTTGGACGTGGAAAGAACGCCGAAGAGAATAAAAAAAAAGCTCTTCACTTATAAACAAATGGAATTGTTTCTATCAAAAATAATTCATCATTTCTCAACTTGACTTTATTCTTCCTTTCTTTCTATCGCTCGCTATATGTTTCATTCATGAAATATCTAAGAGAAAAAAGTCGTGAATTGTTTATTTCAACTTTTTTTCTTATGTTAACATCTTAAACATCATGTCAAAATGTTATCATTTGACTCTAATGGATTATGTGTGTCTGCTGGTGAGTTGAGACACTTCATCAAATTCTTAAATCCTAGAGATCGTTCTCGACATTTAGTGTCGACTCGACATCGCAAGCATCAATTTTTTTCTCTTAAACAAAAGACTTCAATGAATGAATTCGACAGAAGAATCTTCATAAGAACGAAGCAAAATGAAAACGAATGAAAAAATAAACCAAAACACTTGAATCACGACGTGATGTGGAATGAACAGTAAAGTTTGAAGATTTCAGATTGCTTACGGTTGATTAATTATTTTTGCCACGAACAAGTGAATTTTTATTTATTTATTTTTTTCGTTACTTAACACTTTTCATAAAGCACAAGGCGAGACTTAAATTAAATTCCTTTCAGCTTTGAATAGACGATAAAAAAAAGTGAAGTAAGAATCGATTACTGGTTTGTTGTTAGATAATTAGAAACAGATTTAAATCAGTTTGTTGATTGGAAGTTTTGTTGTGGGTGTAATCGAGTTAAGTCCCTTCGTCACTTCCAACTTTCTTCTAATCACACGTGCGTTCGTCAGCAGAAAATGGTCTCATGCACCGAAAACAAATGTGTTTATTCAATTTGTTAAAGAAAAAGAGAAACCAAAATGTGTTGAGTGTGTGGCGAGGCGAAGAGATCAATCCCGAGACCCATTACACATCATTTGTGGCCGTGTTCTCCATCGAAATCATCAATCAAATTCTGTTAATTTGTTAGATTTTTGTTTGATTGCTTATGAAACATTTATTTAATTGATCGTTTTTGAAAGGTCTTCTAATGTTGAGAGAAGGGAATTTAAATGTGTTCCACTGAGATTTGTATCAGTCAAACAATATTTCAATTCTCCTTCTTCTTTACCAATGTTCGAAGCTCATCGTGAAGACAAATCATCCAACGGTTATCGTTCCAGGAACCTTAAGACAATCGACACATAAAATTGAATATTGAATAAAATGGATTTTGAAATATTTACGAAATATCCTGCGGGGTTGCACGGCGTGGTGCGCTTGAAGAGAAATAGGTTGAGTTTTTGTGATTCCTACAATCAATTAATCTCAACTCGTACACCAAATAAACAAACTCAAAGATCTCATCTTTATAAACGGTGCTTTCAATTTCTCAGGGCCATCGACATCAGCATGTGTATGAAAATGAACTGGCTGCGAATTAACTGATCATTGAATTAGTTAAGCTGAGTTTATGATCTAATTTAAGAAGCAATTGATATTTAGATAAATCTACTCATAATTTATAAACTTTATTTAGAACAATATTGAATATTGATTTTTCGATTAGAGACAAATTTGTCGCTGTTCAATCTGAATTGCAAATTCTTTGTTTATTTTATTCTGTCGAATATCTTCCAATCATAGTTCGATGATAAAAATGAAAACAAATTATATCTAAATGGACTAATGCCTGAAGTGTCGTTCCATCGATTTGAATTCATTAGAAACCTTTTTTTGTGTTATTTATGTAAAATTGATCTTTATCTGGTTCTCGATTTCAATATCGATTCGTGACAAATTTATTTTCATAAAACTTCACTCAGTAACTGATGTTGATCAGATTGAAATTCTTATTTTATCTACTTTAGAAATGCTGTGAATTCTGAGGCACAAACATTTATGTTTTGAAAATAATATCAAATTCAAAGCTTTGCTTCAAAATATTTAAACTTTAAATTGTTTCACTTATTTTTCGGAGAATAAATAACGCAGTAATTCAACCCAAAAGGTCACGATAATGTTGTAACATTAAACAGCGATACCTGTTGTTGTAGGCTTCATTTTTCCTCCGTGATTCTTTCTATCGTTTTGTGTTTCGTTATTTCTTTTTCGAGGGCGATGTATCGGTGATATATATGGATGATATTTATTTTAAGAAACATTTTGGGGAGAAAAAAAGAAAGATATTGTTATGTATGGATGAAAGGAATGTCAAAGAAACGAGAGAAGATATTTGAGAATTGAAAGTATGTCCCCACTGGTGATCGTCTTCAATTAATTTGAATAAATCGAATTGTTTTAAGCTCAGGTATTCTTTGGTTGCTTAAAATATTCACTGAACAAAGCTGCTCTAACATTGATTATCAATCTGATAATGAACCAATTTAGTTTGACAATAATGGCAGTTTATAATCCCCAGAAATATTCTTCTTTGACACCACAGAGCTGCTCCATGAGATCAGACAAGTCGAAGCCGAGCTGTATTCAATATTCAATGAAGAAAATTTAAATTTACGACGTATCATGGAGAACGACATTCGCTCAATATCGGATGACGAGAAGCGACGAAAACAAGAAAAGAATCGAGTCAAAGACATGCTCGTAAAATCGAATTAAATCGGAAAAAAGAGATTTAAATTCAAACAACAATCATAACAATAAAATTAGTATCGTTCAAAATAAGGCCTTCGATCAATGTGCGCCGGGACATCTAAAACTATTCCAATTTCCACGTGTGCGGTCGAATGTTTTCGGCGACAACTGCGAGAAAGAAAATTATTTGTTTCTTTTGACAAGCTTTAACGATTCAGCTCACTGCTTGTTGCCTCGACTTTTTGATATGATTTTTATAGCAAATTTTGAAACATTTACGATCGGCAATGCGATAGAATGTTTATATCTTTGGATAAAACGAATCTCTTGTATATTTTATTCTTTTTTTCGGTTGTAGAAATGGTAACGAGAACGGCTTAAGAGAGTTAAAGGAACAACGGTTGAAGTGATGGTGTCATTGATGGCACGTTTTATCACACACAATTCATATAATTTTTTTAAGGAAAGTCTCGATAAATGCATTCGAATTAATGCCATTAGACTGCGCGCGAAAGATCATTTTTTAACATGATTGCAAGAGAAACCAGTGAAGTCGAAGAACGAAATATTTAGTTATGTGAAGATCATCTCACCACCACTGCTTTTTGCAAATCAGATATCATCACTTTGAGTTGCTTAAAAATTTGGTCAACATCATTTCTCTCACCCAGAAACAGCATCGTTTTTAAAAGTGTGGATTAAAATTCGATTTAAATTACTTCGATTCGTTTTTAATGGACAGCAATTTGAAATCATTTCCAAGTCATTTGTTGTTCCATCCAAGAAAACACATTTTGAATTAATTGCGTTAAACAAATTCTTCTCTCATCTTCAAATATTTTCTTTTTGTTTAAATTTTTAAGAATTTATTTTCGGGTTTGTTTTGTGCGCGTAATAAATATCATTTTTATGGATATTGGTATCACTTTGTGTTTATATATTGATTTGACATTAAAAGCTGTAAATTCTAAATTCTCGTCTGAAGAAGTGAAAGAGACTGCGAACGTTTTAGGAACGAAACTTTAAAAAAAAATTATCATAAATTTGGAATTTATTTGGTTTACATTTTTCTCCTTTTTAGAATGGAAAAAAAAACTTGCTGTCGATATTCATATTAGCATGAAGAAGTGTTTAAAAGTTATTTGCTGTTAAGTCGTATACGTGATGACTCATTAAACGCGCGTTAGCTGATGATAAAAGAACTGTGCTGAAGAGATCGCCCAATGCTATCATAACAAAACAAACATGAAGAGAATGTCGCCGCAACTTTTTCTTATGTTTTAAATTTATCCGCTGTAACAATGGACAATCAAATGGAAGCAGCATCGACATTGAATACAATACAAATCCAATTAATTAATAATTTGAATACATATTTGATGCTACAAGTGCATAAATTTCATCGATTTTACTGCATTACTGCATATTTATTGCAGTCAGAAGCATTGGAAACAAATACATGAGACGTCGTCGATCGTTTTACAATTATGCTCGAAATGCCAAAACCGAAAGCAAATAAAAATGAAAGAATGAGTTTCCTTGATAGTAAATACTACACCTTCCTTATACTTACGTCTCCAAATGTTCTTGTTCAATTCACATGAGCTTTCGTGCATTGGCTTGGCTTGGCATTGGCAAAGAATTTAGAAGAAGAGAATTTTATGAGTAAACTAGCATAATTGAATAATATTTTATTTATTTTCTTCTCTTTCATGTTTCCAAATGGATCTTTCACTCTTTTATTCGCCGAGTTAATTTCATGCGTTATTGTTTGTGCAGATAAAGAAAAGCAAAAATGAAAAGCGAACAAGAGAATGGAAAACTAGTTAAAAAGAATAAGAAATGCCGTGGAGTAGAAAAGTTTATTTGAAGATTAAACCCGATGGGAAAAAAGAAATTTGCGGAAAAATGTGCAATGTTAGTTAAATATTTAGTTGAAGAAGATGAAGAAAAATTATTTTCACAGTGCAATTGTGTGGATGTGTAGATGAAGACGAGCCAATAAAATTGGTAACGGGATTGTATGCGCAAACTAAAGTAAAGAATTGAATAGAAATAGAAAATATTGCACAGCACAAATGAAGATTTGCGGTCAACAACGAGAGGAGAGGCAAGTTGATAATAAATCAACAATGATTTTTGTCATTTCATGATGATAACTTGAAATCTTTCTTTTTAAATACATATTTAACTTTAATACCAAAAAGGCTGATTGACGTTTAAGAGGAATTTTGTAAACAATGCTCTAAATAATCAATCGGCTTCTTCACTTGTAGATAAATATTTGATTTCTGATACTTCTATCAACAAAGTTTTAGAATAATTCTGACGAATTCTTTTTCTTATGATAAGTATTGATAAATTCAGAGGCGTTACGTCATTTCAAAATATTTAGATATATCGTCAACTAAGTATTTATGTATAGCGAGAAATATTTCAAGAAAACAGATTTGTTAGCAAGTTGTCGTTTGGAGACACTTCAAAACTGATATCATTTTAATCTGCCGATAAAAGCTACAAATTAAAATTCATTTTGATACACAAAAATGCTTAATTTACATACTCAAATTACCACTCGGTTAAGGTTGTGTTTTAATCATATTAAGAAAATTAATTAGACGTCATTAATCGTCGTTACCGTGAGTCGGTTTTGGAATGGAAAAACAAAGCCGAAAGTTGATTGTTCTTGAGATCATTCCACTCGTATTTGTATATTAAAAGCATTGGCATGTTAAGTGATCCAATATTGCTTGGCTGCCTTTCGATTGCTGACTTATCGCTTACCATTTCGACTTTTTTTTTATTTTCCTTTCTTCACTCATCTGTATTTCATATTTAAATAATTTTTCAATAAAAATCCAACAAACATGAATCTCGACAGCTTCAATCCGGCTTTTGTTTTCAGTCAATCTTTCAGTCTTTCAATTTTCGTTTAATTTTGTTAAATAAGACGAAGTGTTGATTTCCAATAAATGCTTTCAAGATAGAATTACCATTAATAATATTACGCCATGATAAAATAATTGTTGTGGCATTGAGCGAGATGACATTTTTCAATTAATGTTTACTTTTTCTTCACACTCGGCAAACAAACATAAACGCATAGTGTACGAAGGTCGAACTAAGGATAATAATAATGTTTAGCCATGCCCCATTGATGTCAAGACGATTGCTACAATCTAAACTAATACCTGCTTTATTTTATTTTATTTTATTTTTTAATTAATTTTTCTTCATTTCTTCTGAAGTCAAGTCAGTTTCTCTTCTCACATAGTCCGAGATAATTCAAATGTGTGTAGTTTTTATGCCATAAAACACCCAGTTTGATTGTGAGCTCAGCCAGCTTAAGATACCAGAAGAAGAGATTGCTGTGTACAATATATTTACTTCTTTCATAATGCATGACCTATTGGTGTGACCTTTCGAAATGAGACGAACAGGGAGGACAGCGCGAAATGCTTTGGGTTGGTTTTTTGTTAATTGTTCTAAATATTCCAGGAATTTTTAATTGGGTAAGATTATTTGAAGACATTATCGTATTCGTTTCACAGAGATTAACATTCTTGATTCTCTTCTAAATGACAATCCAGTTAAAAGATGAACAAATAATAAAAAGGTTAAAGTTTATTGAGGAAGAGATTTCATTTTATCGGATTAAATCACATTGATAAATTGATTTTTAATTATTTCCTTATTTTTTAATTACCTTGAAGTGAGAAGCTACAGTTAGTTAACTTATACACTTTTATATAATAAAAAATATGAAGATGACATTTTATTGTCAACGACTCGTCACATCATGTGAATTTTTAACGAATTTGAAATGATCGCACCTTCAAAAACTTCTGTGTCAATTTTATTTACAACATAAAGGGAAATTCCAATAATCGCTTGTATTTCACCAAGTGAATGACACTATGACAGCAAGCTAATCAAATGAATATAACATCAAAATCAAGCTTCATTGTGCTTTACTGGAATGTCTTTTTATTCCACTGTACAGTGAGATAAATAAGAAGATTTTCTTCCTTTCGCGTATTATTGTTTCACCTAAAGATTCTTTCGAATGTTTTCTCTCGATTTTTAAGATGATATTTTATTAAGTTTGACCCTGAATGAGTGGAAACAAAATATAAGAAAGAAAAAGCTTTTATGATGACATTTGGCTGAGATAATTTTTCTTTTTTTTCTCTTTCTAAAACGACCCAGCCTGATGTGTCGACTTACATATTTGATCAACCGTGTGGAATCTTCGTTCGCTTTCTTATTTATTTATAAAGCAGTTGATATTTATATGGAAGCCAAGCCACTTTACTCTTGTGCTATAATTAAAAGACAATAATTGAATCAGCTTTAGAGATTTGAGGATAATCGTTTGATTTATGGGAGTTTTGTTTGCCTATAAACTCTCGCCTTCGTTAGTTTAACGTTGCATTAGTATAAGATTTCTTATGATACTTTGAAAATCATTTCACTAGTTCTGGTTTCTAATTAACAGAATTTTTCCTCGGCTTTTTTATACATTTACGACAGAATGGTGTCATGTTACAGATTAATCTAAAACAAAATCTATTTTGAAATTCTATGCCAAACCTAACTTTAGATTTTTTGTTTCTAACTTTTCACCTTTTCCACCTGACTCTTAGAATTGATAAGTTTGTATGATGAACTCATCCGACTTATGGTAAATTATTTATTTATTTATTTTATTTTCTATTAACCTCGAGTAGAAAAGATCCAGTGTGGTGTGGTGTGGACAATAAAAGTCTCTTCTCTTATATTTTAACTTTTTATATTATTCGTTCATTTTTTATGTTCATTAATATTGAATTTTTATGAGTCGTTTAGTATTTCCATCTATATTGAGTATTTAGAAGGCATCAAAATATGAATATCTCACGAAATCACACAAAAAACTTACTAACACAGCATGCTTGCCGTTGAGAACTTCTGATGATGTCATGGGAGTGTTTCATGGTTGTCTAGGATATCACTTAAAATGGCAAAGCTCGTCTGCTACATTTTAAATTAATTAGCAAACGATAACAAATAGTATCATAATCCTCACCAGTGTGTGATTCTTCAGGTTTCAATATTACCGTATTAACTGTCAAATGGTGATTTTTATGGCAACGTATGAATTGAAAAGTTTACGATTCATAATTTTATTGGATGGACGAGATGTTTACGTTTCGAAGAGATTTCGGCGTGCCGCTGATGGGCTCTCTCTCGCTGCCTATCGTGTTTAAATTCGAACAGTTTTTCATTTCTGAGTATTTTTTAAAGTCTCGTCGTAAAAGTGTCAATTTATTCCATGGCGACTTGAATAAAAATGATTTTTATAGCTTTAATGAACCAAATTATTTTAAGCCGAACCAACGAAGCTTCATTTCTATGCCTATTGACGACTGCTTAATGCTTTGCTTAATGAAACAAAATCTAGTTTCCTTGTTGTCGCAGAAAAAAAAGGCACAATTAAAATGTCGTAAAACTCCCAATCAGGTGGAAGATCTCAGGTCGATCAGCATTAGCACGACATCACTTCTTATTTGATCGTAAAGTTCAAGCTTGATATCTTTCATATCCATTCATTTTCTAAATAAATCGACTTTTTTTTTCTTAAACGAAGCCCGTGAGAGCTTCGAATAGCAACAGAGTGCTTGTATCAATTTCATTTAACCAGGAGTGGTCAAGGATCAATAGGTTAATATCGAATTCTTCTACACTCTTTATGTACCTCGTACTACACCCATATAGCACCAGATCATCTCATAAAACCCATACAAGTCGTAAAGAAATTCAACTTTTCTACAACTTTGCTTTACTTTACTCGCAGGCCTCATAAAAAATAGATTACAATAAAAACAAATCAAATAAAATATTACAAACATTTTTTATCATTCAACTCATTTATTTTGAATCATAAATTGTGGATATGTTTCAATATAATTTGTACTTGTAAAGAATCATATTTATATGTTTACAGACATTGAGTGGTTGCTTATTATTTCTTGAATTGTTACAGAAATTATTTAAAATTGTTCTCGTTCAACTTCAAATAGTTTAATGTAGACTTGCAAACAAGAATTAAATCCTCAATGTTGTTAGAGAAGTTAAATGACGTTTATTGTCATTTTAAATGAAATGTTGATGTTAAATATGACGAGAAGAAAAAGTTAATTCATTAAATCTTAAAATTGCTTAAATAGATTTGCATAAATCGCAACGTTATGTTGATTAATATTCCAGCCTTAAGTTTAACAAAACAAACAAGTTGATTCTGTCGTTTTTCTTACATTTATGTCGTCCATCTCAAGTGGATAAATGATTTTTCAATTAAAATGAAATGTAATCTGCATTCACCATTAGTAAGTTTTAATCTTTAACTATCTTAAGAAGTTCGCTCTTCAAGATCCACTGAGCAAAATTACTTTTAATGATCGTGGCAGGTTGATAATAATCTGTTATGAACAACTTGTAAATAGATCGTTTTATCTCCATCGGCCGTCGACGGACGTGTGCTCGGACATAAATAAGAGACAGCAATATGCATGGAAAGGAATAAATATGCATAATCTTGGGTAAATGTACTGATTTTGCACCTGAAAATTGAGTGTACTTTATGAAGGTTGAAGCATAAAGAAAGAAAGAAACGAACGAGAAAAATGAAATGCAAGTGAAGCCAAATCGTAAATTTATTAAATTATTTCATGGCATCTTTATCACTTAGTGAACGATCAATATTTTGTTGACAATTAATGTCGGCCGATGTTATCGCAATTGCTTGTGAATAAATTTATACATAAACGTTGATAAAAGTTGGAATAGTTGCGTTGTTAAGATAAACTTTCTTACATAATTTTCACTATTAATTAAAGTCGTTTTTGTATTGACAGTCGTATATTTATTTTATCTACGAATAATTATTTTTTGCTTTACAAAGAAACTTACTTTATATGAAACTTCTTCTCACTTTACATTATTAAATGATTTCTTATGTAGATGAACCTTGCTTATCTTTGTAACTTTGAATATATTTTCATTTAATGAAGTGAATTCTCGTGCTTGCAACATTGTTGCGACAAGATCGAAAATGAGAGCTTATATCAACAAATAATCGGATAACGATGACTTAAATGAATTGGAGAATCAAATCGAAATCTTAGTGCTTACTAGTTTACTTTTCAAGTACTTTTTAACATCAGACAGACGTAAACTGGATCTGTTTTAAAAGCCATGTCCAGTCTATAAAGTATCGGTAATAGATGTTTGATGACATTTATAGAAGTATGAAAACTGTGCTCCTTTTTTAAAATATTGGCTTACGTGAAACTATCGACGTATTCATTGTTGCACTAATGAAATGCTTGAAATATTAAATATCTGCTACACTGAATTGCTTTTCTCTACCCTGTCTTTATAAAAATATTAATAAAATGTTATAAATAATTGTAATGTTAGCATTTAAGCTTCAATAATAAAATCTATGAATGAAATTATAATAAAAATTATTGTTTTTTAGTTATCTCGGGCAATAAAGCACGCACATTGTCGCGTGGAAATTTAGTTTAACTTTAAACTTTAAAGACCACACTTAGCGAATATCGATTTGATGATTGTGATAATTTCACATTTTATAAAAGCGTACTTGGCTTAATGTTAAATAAAGTCTCAAACTTTATGATTTTTCTGGAGTTTCTTTTTGTCATTGTGTCTTTTTTTAAAGGAAAGAAAACTGAGAAGATGATGGACAAAGAGATTTCACCTTGCTAGCCTGTGTCATACTTTGCATGTTATTAATTTCAAACTTATGAGTGGTTTAAAAAAGAAAGAAAAAAGGTGATGAGCATGAACAACATCGAAGCACAATGCTTTGGAATTACCTTTTTTTGATACTCATAAATTTCTCCTACTCGATCATTTCACGATGAAATGATTACAGTTTAAAGGTCGACAATCAATTGTTTTATTGGGGTCTTCGTCTCAATAATGTTTCGAAATATTACAACGTTGATAGCTTTAAGCATCTTCTAAACTCAAATAATAATTCATCGTGAGCGGTGCGTTTGTAATTAAAAATAGCATCCAACGCTCATCAAGACTGTGATGAGATTTAAAGCTTTCTTATATAGCTTAGGCAGTTAGATTTATGTCGTCTCATTACAAATGGTTCATTAAAACTAGCAACCACATCAAGCACATTTCCTTCATTCTCTCACTCATACTCACAACTTATAAAAGTTTGATTTGAAACATAATATTTTGTGCAACAATTTATCAATAGAAAAAAGAAGCAGCCGCAACTTAACTTACATAAAACTTAAACTAAGTTTCAACTGCCCGATAGCCAGCCATCCAAAGCAAAATATATTTAATTATTTTTCTTCTCATCAAATGCTGAGCAATGCTCGTACTTCCTTCAACTTGCGCATACATTTCTGTTATTATTACCAATAAAAGTGCTTTGGTTAAAAACGCTATAATTCATTCAGTTTTCAATTTATTTTTGTGTGCACTTGAGATGAGATTCGTAACTGAAGTGCGCCCCATAAAGACTCGCTTTGAAACTTATGCGAAACAATTTATGAGGTTCGACGGGAGCGTAATGTGATATGCTTTTGACGGACATTTATGAGCTTGAAAAGACGAGAACATTTTTCTTTTCATTTTTTATGACACAGATAAAATATTTCGCTAAAAATCCTAAACATATTATGACTTGAATTTTGCCAGTGATTCATCAGCCGTTTAATCGAATAAAAAGGCACTTTACATCATGAAAATATCTTTCGAATTTCGTCACGTCTCCGTTTTAAGCTATTTCGATTGTGAATTGAGTCAAAGCATCTTAATTCAGCTTTAAATTACTGTGAATGATATATTGTGCTTAATTATCCAAAGCTTTTTCTTCTAAAGTCTCTTCTTCTTTATTATTATTTTGTTAATCTACGGCTGACTAAATATCATTGAAATCTGGATATATGTCTCCTGATTTATCACACTCACGACTTAGAGACTCTAATTTTAATGAAGACAAAATTATCTCCTTCGGAGACACAAAAGCTTTTCTTTCGACTAATCGAACTCTATCATTATAAAGAAGTGAAATAATGAAAAATTACTTTCCAATAAGATTATATTCAGACATAGTTACAGCTTGCCTCTCATCAGAAAATTGTGGATAAAAATCCATGCGAGCACAACAGAGTTGAAAAGAAAGAGTTAAATATAAATAAAATTCCAATCAATTATAATTAATACAAAAAAGTCAACAATGATTGGTTCAAAAGCGTGACATCATTAGTTCGGAAAGTTGTATTCATATCGTGCTTTTCTATGATATTTTAGTTTTTATAGGCTTAAATACACGGAGGGAGTTTTATTTCGGTATTAAGGAGAACGATTTTTATTAAACTTGATTGATTTCTTTCCGTGTTACTTAATATATTCACACATGTATAATTTAACGTGGATAGCTTTTTATATTTTATTCCAGAGTTCTCATGCTTATTTCGAGAAAATCTGTTTATTAATGTTATTTGGCTAATGGGTCTCTCTTCTTAGAGACGTATCTTTGATGTGATGTTTTTAACACGTCTTAAACTGCTGAATCCGTTTCACGGAACAACAGAAGAATGTGATATTTAACCATTTTATTATAGCCTTGTAAGTATATTTGAAAATATTTCTTTTAATCACTTTAAGTTAACGAAATCCAATGGCTGTGAGCAGTTGCAGTGAATCAAATTCATATATTCGTTACTGCACTTATCTTACGGATAATTGCCTTCGAGTTAAGTATAAGTAATCTAATTTTTTATCAGCCCATAAATAAATATCAGCAGTTAAGAAAGAATAAAGATTCAAACAAGCGTTGAAAAAAATTATGCTAGAAAATGATTTATAAACTGCTTGTTATTCCAGCCTCTCACTCTATCTCTATCGATCGGTCGGTGTAATAAAATTCGAATAGATCATACATCTGAAAAAGTCTCACGATATCACAGCAGCGCCTTACGAGTTAAACTTAATTCACTAATCAATAAATCGCGCCCAAGAATTTTTATTTTTTAGCTCAACACGAAAACACAAAAAAGCTATAATTGCAAGCTCACGGACTTTGTAGTGCAACGTAACCGCTTTACATATCTTTCATTCAAGGAATGGATTTTTCACGAATCTATAAAAAATGGCAATAAAATAAATCACCAATAAGCATTTTAAATCAATACAAAAATCGATATAAGTAATAAATGGTGCTGGAGAGCAGTGAGCATGGTTGAAAGAAATTAAAAAGAAAAGACGAGTTATGCGAAGCATGAAAAATAATGAATTGTAATGAATATAACACATTTTAACTAATTAAATGACGTGGTGTATTAAAGTAGGTGGAAAGTTCTCGGTCGAGCTTATGCTAAACTCGAAAGACAACTTGAAAAGCTTGGATGATGCTTATCCATAAAACTAAGTAAGTTTCTACAATCGCTACTGCTATAGGATAGAGTAAATGTTAAACAGCCTGCAGCAAAGTGTTTATTACATGCGACTTCTGTTTCCCTTTTTTTTTTTCTTACTCATATAGATACATCTGAGCGAGTATTGTTTATTGATTCTTTTTTGTTTCCAACTTCATGACTTCTTCTCTTCGATGCGCGATTTCCTGTGGGTGTTTTTAATCACATTTTAAAGTCTAGTTTCATGCCATTTCTCAGCAAGTGATTTTTAAGTTCATGCCTTAGTTTTATGCTTATTACTAACATGCCTTGTGAGTTATGGAATCAAGGATCTTAAAGCAACATCATTTAATTTGATGAAACTCGAACATTTATGTGATGATGTTTACATCAAATCTAATAAATATAAAACGTAAGTTTAATCATTCACCTCACATTCTAATCATTCCCAATGGCATCTTGTTTCGTTTGGAAAAAAATATTGTAAAACAATTTTAACGATTTTTTATTTTTATTTTTTGCTTTCAAGCTACCTTACAACGATTCACAAGTATCCCACACTTTTGAGTGTTTGATGATTTCAAAGCTATTTTATGTATGCTAAACCTTTTAAATATCTTTTGTGTGTTGCTTTGTGTTTCCTCTACGAAAGGAAATTCAAGTAATTGAGCTCACAAGTCATTAAAAGAAGGTGAATTTTGTGGTCGAGAAAATAATATAAATAAATAAATGTTTTAATGCTGAAGTGTTTGAAACTGGAAACGAAGAAACAAGGCGCTTTTATACTTGTAAATGTGTGAAAAGTATTTCAAAATGAGCTGTGGCACGACAAAGTCATGTATAAGAAATTGTTTTATTTGGTTAGGACTCGTCTTAAGTGCATGGCCAGGGAATTCTAAATTAGATGTGCATACATCTTGTTTCTCTTGTACTCGTGAAACGACGAGATTTTAAACGATTTAATTGATTATCATGTCGATTAAATGTTTCAATTTCCTGCTGTTTACTGAAAACAGATTCAGAAAAGTGTCAAAGCGTTTTCACGACTTTTCTGTGAATGTTTCTTCGTCTCTCTCGCGTTTACAAGTAAGGCGTAAGAATATGTTCAGTTTCAGCAACAACAATAGCCATTCTCGAGCGAGATCAATGGCTTTCTAATTCTGATTTATATATTTTTTTGTCTTTTAACTGCGACTAAATCTCCATAGATCGAGACATCTAAATTCTTGATTTTCAAATGAAAACAATCGTATTACTAAGCAAGCTTTTGTGAAAAATTCTTTAACTTCTATAACGGATACATGAGCATAATGTAATGGGTCAACGAAAACAATCAATAACACCTTCACATCAACGGATTATTTATTATGACCATACATCGATTTTTAACAATAAATGTGCTCATTTTGTTTAGTCTCAATCTTTACTTTTGTTTCACACTCGAATTGTGTTGTACCGGTTGCTAATTAGGATTTGAATTCAACACTCATTTCGGATGCTTTGTGAACAATAAATTTCCTTTATGATTCACCATCAACAAAATAACATGAAATCATTTTTATGGATTAGAAAAGCAAACTCGAAGAAGAGAACAGTTCGAAATGTTTCTTTTGAACTCTTGAAACAGAAGATGGCTAAGAATGAATTCATTGGAAGTGAAATGTTACGCATAATAAAATGATTTGTTGAGTAACAATTTGGTGTTGAGAATTTACGAATTATTTTGATATTCAACCCTAGAAATTTTAATTTAATTTCAATGTTCATTACCACAAACAACTTCAAATCAATGGCAATCCAACTTGTTAAACAAAAGTCAAGAATTTCTATTAAAAATACTAATTATCATCCAAAAATCGTCTTTCTTTTGTAAAGTCTTTCTAAACTTTACTTACATGGCAAGCTTTTAAGTCTTACAAATGTAATAGAAAAAAGTGGATGATTATTGAATAGTCAAACAAGCATTAATCGTAATAATAAGAATAGAATTCTGTTTCCTCCTTTTTCTTTTGACTTGAACTTAAATCGGTGTTCACTTCTCTAAGAAATGGTTAAATTAACGTTATTTGACTATTGTGTTAGACATGGTGAATGCTTGAAGATTTCTCTACTCTTTAGACGCATTTGATCGTTTTCCTTGTTATTATTGTAATCATTATTCTGTTTATCTTTTATTAAAATGTGTTTAAACAATCGATTAGGTTAAGTTCTTAAACTATAATAAGTTGGTAAAATATGGATTATTGAAGACTTTCCATTCTCAGTCACATTCACTTTGGTGATTCTAACGATGCGATTTCTTGTGAACATTTTATGGTAACATGATGAGAATTACATTGTTGAAGGAATGAAGAACAGTGCCTAATTGTATTTACTTTTCATTTCATCACCCGCCCCAACAATAAGACGTGAAAACATTCTTTGAAAGTGAATAGGATCGGTGAACTCGTATGGTGTCGGCATGGGAAACATTCAAGTTTCTGACTGTTATGCTATTACCAATTTACACAATTCATTTAAGATTTATTTTACTTTTCAGAATCATAGTTTAGTCTTTTGAATCATATTTTAACATTCCGCGAGTAGGCATTTCCAGACAATATTTTATTTCCCACACGAAACTGTTTTGCTTTTTTATTTTCGAGAAGAGATCTATACCAATTATATTTTTATTATGCTAAACACAAATGTCTATATGTATTTAGATACACAATAGTAGCGACTACAGGTAATTCCGATTGATCTCGCTTAAAGAAATTATAATGATGATGATTGTTAAAAGTTGGTCATTGAATTTAGCATAAAAATTTAGTTAAATTATTCACAAATTGTCGGAGTAAACGTTCGATAGTTTGCGCAAGTTCTTATTGAAGCAACGTTACGACTGAAAAGAAATTCCAGCTCTAGTTACCAATAAAGTTTATTGATTTTATTATGCTTAATGTGCAGTCATAAAACTGTTAATTAATTAGATATGGAATTGTCTATTAATTGAAATGACAAGATATTTATTAAGAATTGATTATTTTCTGCCCATAAACCGTTCCACATATCTAAAGCAATGCTAGATAAATAAATGTTAATAGATTTTGCAATATCAGTTCATGATTTCCCAGCATGTCATTAAAATTTTCGAATCTTAAAACCATTAATTTTTATGATTATTCATTGGTTTATAATGCAGAATCTCCATATAAAGCTTCGAGAGTGTTGATGGTTGCTTTGCTGTTCACAAATGAAAGCGATCAAGAAACCGACGATAAAAAATTGAACAACATAAATTGATTATCAATTTGCACTGTACAGAAAAAGTGCTGAGAGTCGAATCATTTAAAGTATAATTGGGTTATTATTAATTGAGAGCAATTAATTAAAGACATGACTTGAAGTATGAAATTATAAACACGATTCTTCCTCAACGACAACCTCTTGGAAATATAAGCAAGCAAATTGTCTTAGTTCGTGTCTTGAAATATATTTAATTGACCCTGCTTAAAATTTCTCATGTACACCTGTCCCCCTCCCATCTTCACTCATCTTTTCAAATTAGATATTCATTATTACACATTACAATATCATGGTTATAGATCAACAAAAAAAAAAAGAGAATTTAAAGTTAGCTTTTATTAGTCAGCATGATTTCAATGCTGCTTGCCTTCCCGCTACCTCCCCTCATTATCTCGATATGTCCAACAATGTACAGATCGTGAAGTGCGCAATGCAAAAAAAAACAGTTTTTCGTGAGAAAATAACATAATAAAATAATAAAATATTTATAAATTCATAGCCACACATATATTTCTTTCCTATATATGCTGAACTTTACAACGACTTCATTAATAATGATAGTAAATGGTTCCAATGTTGTTCAATAGGTTGGAAGTTAACCCGAGAGATTTAAATAATTGCAGATTACACATTGGTGAAAAGAAAGGCGCATAGAGTACATACGAGAAAGGAATCTGGAGTTTCTCGCTAATTAATTTGCTTTACCACGATAGCCATTGAGCGAGTTGAACGAGAGTTTGTCTTCTTCTTCATCTGATGTTACTATAATAATAAACATGTTTCCCTGTCTGCAATTTAAACTTGTTCAAGACCAAAGTAATTAATTTGGATTTAATTTCTCCTTTTCTCACTCTCTCTCTCTCTCTATCTCCTTTTCTTTTCCTTCCTTCATACATGATTTTTTTTTGTTGCGAATATAACAAAAATTAATCTCTGACTAATGACGTGATTTATAAAACTTTTAAGCTGAAGTTTTTTTTTCTTTCGAATAAATAAGTGGAAGAAAAGAATTCAATTTGCATTTATGACAAATCGGCATTCAATTGAATGGTGTAATCTCATTACAAATAGAATAGAGTTGAATAAAAGAAGTTGAAAATAGTTAAATGATATTAACATCATGTGCTCGATCGTTGAGTAAATAATGATCAATTTAGCATCTTCATTGGGGTGTAAGGAAAGAAAGATAATTCATGTTAAATACAAAAGAAGAATATTTCACTACAAGACGATCATCATGTGAGTAATTTCCTAATAAGACTTTTCATCTTTACAATTACATGATTTTATTGCATTTTGACTATTTTCATGCTACACAAGAAAATGATGAAGAAAAATATCTGAAATTTCACATCCAATGTTAATGAAACTATTGAAAGTATTTATGAATATTTCACTGGTCAAACAGACTTTATCATAGCAATAAATTGCTTTTGATCCACATCGTGTGTGTGTATGTGGATATAAGATTAAGAAAATAAAAACGTTTTATTGTTCTGCTCCGATTGATCGTTCATTAAATGAAATGCTTTAATATGTTCAATAAAGAAACACCGAAAGTTTCCATACATAGGATGTTTTGATTCGAAGTGCTAGTGGAACAATCAACAACAGTTTGTTCGATGAAAGAATGGAAATTGAAGCAGAATATCTAATTGACACGCTACAAATTATCAATTTAGTCTTCTTTGCAAGCTTTGGCTTCTCCAATGATGTCGATAGGAAATGACACTAATTTTTCAACAACGAAATTGATTCATCAATTTATAACAATCATGAATGGATTGATGAAGGAACGATTTCTGTTTAAATTTGACATATAACATGCATTTGCTACAAATTAGAGATCAACAATTCTCACGAAGGAAATAAAGAAACAAAAATCACACTCAAATGAAGAGTTTCTGATGAATTTCACTCTTCGTCGCTGACAAAAGCCTCAAACTTTAATTCAATAATCATAAAAAGAAATATAAATCGATCTTTGAGAAAAGAAATCAAGATAAGTTGATCAATCATAAATGACAATTTCAATGGGCCATTGGCTCGTTCAAGAGTTTCTCAGAGAGCGATCATCATGTATGTAAGGGAATTTGTAACGAGAAACAAGATGATGAATCAAAAGAACACAAGAAATCACTCCAAAATCGATTGATTATGATTGAAGAGAGCATAAAAAAAAGCAGAGCGAAAAGAACTGTTTCAAAAAAGAAGAACCAAAGCATGATTGTAAATTAAAAGAAGAAAATCATAAAAATAAAATCAGCCAGCAAGAAAAGAAATCACTTCATTAAATAATGAAATCAACAAGGCAAATCAAAAGCAGCACCAAAAACATCAATCGAATGAAATAAAGAAATTGAATGCTTCTCACTAATTTGATTGGAATTCACAGACTTTATCGTAGATCATTGAACTATTTAGATCTTTCTGACTTCATCATCTTCATTATAAGACGTATTGAATCCACTTCAACATCATATATCGTCATGTGAATGTTGTAAAAGAGGAAAAGGTTGAGTGAGGAGGAAAAGCCAATTATGAATTATGAGCTACAAAAAAGTATGAAAGAAAACCAAAAAACACAATAAAAAATCAAGTGATGATCCAGCACAAACTATGGGAATAATCTGTAACAAAAATCATGTTTAATGTGTGCAGATTTTCACATATAGTTATGTACTTAACAACATCTTTCTTTCCACCCAATAAAGGCAGGAAAACAAAAATGAAACGAAGAATTCATAATCGAAATACTTTTCAGATGAGACTTCATAAATTACAATTTGATGCATGTCCAATCTACAATACCATTCCGGCTTGTTCGATCATTCAATCTTTGTCTTTCTTGTGCGACGGACTTGAGAACCGTATGGGGATAAGGCGCACATTTTCTTTATTGCTCACGCCACGTTAGAGGAATTTTCATGGTGAATCGTGTGCGAAGACGCTGCATTTGATTTCCTAAACATGAACAAGAAATGCTTTCAGGGTAAGCGATAAGAACAAACCAAACTCAAATTCAATCGCCATACAGTGCGATGGAAAATAAAATGTTGTCATTAATATGCGTTGTTTAAAATAATTAATTTTATTGGCGGTGAGAAAAAGCATTCACCACAAGTTTTCTTATCACTATCTCGTCTTTAAATGTCTTGATTTTTATTCTTTTTTCTCATCAGAGATGAGAACTTTCAACACGAATTAAGTTTCTTGTTAATTCTTTTAAATCTTAGGAATTTAATGAAGTTAACCAACTCTGCATATCATCATGCATCATATTCTTAAAGAAGAGAAGAAACAAACTTGTTGTTAAAGCAATTCTTAAAGATCACCTTTCATTATGATCATACTTGGTGTGGGGTTCACACTATCGGCGTTGTTCCTTTGAAGAAGGCGCGCTTTTAATTGCATTATGAGGGACAGGAGGGGAACGTTGTATGCATGTACATAAATATAAAGAACCTTGTAAAGAACCATCATCCACAAAAAAGTGAACCGAACTTTAACACCACCATAATGTTCTTTATTTAATTATGGCACTAAAAGCGATAATAATAAAACAACTTTTGGTCGAGTCATTGCCAAACCTACATCCATACAATTCCGTTTTTATTATTGCAATTTAAATTATGACTAAGTACGACTAATAATTTTCGCTTCGCTGTTTATGCGTTGTGTTTGTCATTAGAGACAAGGCAATTATTGATGTTTAGTTGTTATCATTTAAAGCTCATGCTCCGATGAGTGTTAAAAAGAGATTTTCATAATCAATTGTTGGAGTGTCGTGAAGCGAGTGTAAATTGCACTTTACACGGAATAAATCAATTTACGCCGTGACGTAAGTAAGTATAAAGCGTGGTGTACATATTTATTACCATCATATCGCTGTTCACCCAATCAATATTGTACTCGAATTCATTTTTACGCCACACACACGCAAATGAGGATGATTCTGTCAAAATAATAATTCATGTTCGATCACTTAAAAGGCAACTTTTGTACAATTTTTTTTGTTGTGCTGAAAAGGTGAACATTCAAATGAACTATAATTAAGTTAATTGTAATAAGAGACTGCACGATTCGACAGCGCTCTATATATCACAGACTTGAAATATGACTACAATCATTAATGTAATTATAAGCAGCGATGAGCGAGTTGAGGAGCTTACAACTTGTTAAACATTTCTTCCGTTCATTTCATTTAAATCACAGTTGGAAAGTGGCGAAATCGATTTAATAATATTGAAGGGTATATTTACCTTAATGTATTTATGACATGACTACCTTGATGTGCTTACCGATATCATTTATGTATGCAAAATTTATTTTTTCGATAGACTTTTTGTAAATGTGCGACTCAATTTTCGACATTTAATCACATGAAAATTCTTCACATTCTTGCTTTAATCAATTTATCATAATGGAAATAATTTTAGTACTCAGAAGTGTATTAATTTCACATAAAATTCAATAAAAACTACTTTACATAATAATTTATTAAAAAACAAAAAACAAAATTTAAGATAGCTGAGAATGTAATAAAGAAGCATCTCAGTTACAACAATCTTCGGCAAGAACATGCCATTACTTATGAAAATATTTATGCATGAAGGATATTGATTGAATAAAAAAGAGAAACCTGAACTCGATATATGTAGTAGATACTTATAAAACTTAATGATGATTTACGATATGTTTGATTATTGTTTTTAAGGGGAATATTTTGTTTATTAAAAGTCGGCCACGATCTTTAATATAACACCCAGAGAGGATGCTTATGAAAATTCTTTATGGCGTTAGTAAGACTCTCATTGTTTACAGTTTTATGTCAGATTTTAATCACTTCCGTCTGGGTGATCGATTTCATTCCTTTACTTTTCTTTTTTTTTATAAAATTGATTTAAATTTATTGGTTATCAAGTTGATGCGTTTTCTTCGCCCTTCTCTTGTCATTAAAACTTGCACCGTGAAATGAACATCAAGTGAACATTATTTTGAGTGGATGCTTTGAGCCACACTCAATATCAATTCGATTTAATAGGCTATCAATATTGAAGTAATCAGGTCGTTTAAGATGAAATCGGCGGAAAAATTATTGAAAAGAATTTTTGCTGAGTTCAAAATCGTTTTTTTGCAGGAAATCAGACGTGCGATATATAATTTCGTTTAACGACTTTCGATATGTTAAGATTATATGAATCTTTAAGGTTTGAACAATAATTTCCATTTTACTCCTTTTTTAACTGATTAATTTTCATATCCATTACTTAAGTTCTTTTCATATCGGTTTGCTGATGATACTTCAAGTTTTTCAAAGGCGAGAAATTGAAAAGTTGTAAAATTTTTAATATGAAATGTCGCTACATGATTTTCAACGCTAAATACAATTTATAATTATCTACCTATCACCTTCTACATTACTTTTCCATCACAAAAAAAGCTTCCCCATAAAATAAGGTAATTGTGAAACATTAATTGATTTCCACTGCATTAAGTGGTAAAGAAATCAATTATTGTAGCAAATGAGTAATTTAGCTCATTCATCAAGAAACTTTGCAATTATTTTTTTATTTTGTTGTTCATTGTCGCTAAACATAATCTTGTTCAATAATTGATAAATTTGTAGATAAGAGGAAGTCATAAATTGTGCAATAAATTATGAGATTTTAAAAACAATGCTGAGAGATTCCTGAAAAAATCTGACTTGATGAACTCGTCATAAGTACAATATGAAACAAAAATGATCAAATGGACGATGATACATTGTTTTGCAATTGCAATTATGAATTATAATCCAATAACGATAACATCATTATCGAGTAATATTATTAGTGCTACGTGGATGATTTTTCTTATTTCTGTAAGTTGAATTATAATAAATATGAAACACGTTCTTCTCAATTTAGATTTGAGGTCATCTGATGATTCATATGGAGCTGTGTTGTTGCCATTTGAAGTTGAAGGTGTCCACAATGCAATATTCTTCGTTCCTTTATTTTTAGAACGAAGTCTTCACGAAGTATATTAAACAGATAGATCGCTTAGGCATTCTGAAGTTCGATGATAAATTGAATTTATTTGAATCACGTTAGACGTTATTTATGATTTATGTCCAATTGTTTAATATCTGTCATAACTTCGATTCGTAATTATTATTAGCATAAGCATTCAATTTCAATATGTAGTTACTTAACAATGCATTTTGTTTGGCCTTGGAAAGTTATTACTTTGTGGAGCACGAGAATAAACAATGAACGTTGTGCAGTAATGAGTGATGCGCTTGGACTAATTGGAAAAGTTTCTCAATAACCAAATGCATGGATAAGTATAAATATTTAAATAAGTAATTGATGTAGATGATGTATGAATGGGAATAATGAAGATTCTAACTTTTATGTTTAGCTTTTAAAAGAAAAGATTGAGTTCGAGGAAGATCGCTTCCGCATAACTTGTGTACAAGTAAGCACGAATATTGTCTTTCAACGTCTCAGTCGATATTATCAGCAAATTCTCGTTGAATATTTTCCTGCCCAGCACTCAAGTGATACTGTCCATGTCCACTTACCGATTTGTTTCTCTTCTTCACCATGCGAATATATTAAAAATGTTGCCCAGGTCGAATAGTGATTGTTGTTTCAGCAAACGACGATGGAATTATTTTTTCATTACATCCATCGATTAACATGAAAACAACTTGGCTCGAGATGTGAGACAGAGCGAAGACGATGTTCAAGAATAAAGAGATATATTTTAATATTTTATTTATTTCTATTTTTTTTTTTTCATCTTCTTTTTGTAATAACACTGAAAGCATAAGCAAATAAATAATGAAGATGAGCCATTGATATTGGAATGGAATAATGCCGAAGCCATTGTGTACAGGTGAACCTTACCCGTTTGCGCGAGCAATTTTTTTGTGTTTTGTTTCTTCTTTTCTTACATTATTATCCTCTTGAGCAGAAGAAGATCGTGAATAGTTGATGGAGGCGCCCCCGACTAAATTTATTACACTATTGAATTATGTAAAGTGTTCCGTATTACTCTGAATTGACTTATGTTCAGATATTTATTATTGAAATCTCTTTAACGAAGTTTCCTATTCGGTGACGTGTACACTTTGAAGTTTAATTAAGTGATTAAACGAAGATTGTTTTATATTTTTCATTTCTTTAAGCGATAAAAATATTTTTATCTCATATTGCAATGCTGCATAACTTGTTTTGAAAATCGACGTCAACATCAGTAGCATGGGAATGTTTTGCTTTGAGATGACATGCAAATCAAATTGATGGCACACAAATAGTTTTCATTTCGTAAAAATTGTTGCTGTTGACGATCAATGCAATGCTGGCACAACGAACAACATTGTTTTGAGCTTTCATTCCACATTGAGCTTGATTGCAGTGAGAAACATTCTTAGAAGGAAGGCAATGACAGAAAAGAAAAGAAAAATAGTTAAAAGTGCAAAGAAATAAAATGTTACGACGCTTAATGTGGTGTGACAACGAAATCAATTGACCACGATTTTAATACCTTTTTAATTGCATGTTGGTGGGTTAGCCATTGTATAATGTTGTGAAAAGATCGATATGCTGTTATGTTCAAATACTTACATCTATCGCTGCGTGAAGCATGTTATCCAGCACTCAAATGCTGGCTGCAACAATTGCACGATATGAAAAATCTTTTCTTTTAAATTTTCATTTCCTAAGACTTTTTATTACAATAATTTAATAAATTGGAATTCAGTAAGTTTCACAATAAACTCAATTGATTTATACTACTAGTTAGGCTTAACATTCTAAGTTTCATTTTGTTTTTTATGTCAATAAATTAATAGCTTGTTGATGACGACTTATAAACCCTCGTTAAATGTTGTTTTTATTCGCTCATCTCATCTCATCAAGAAGAAAATATTTGTAATTAATGTTACGTCAAGTATATTGCAGTACGAGTATATTTTTTTATATATAATTATTTTGCTTATTGCAAATGTATAAAAAAGTCTGAGAAGGAAGATAAGTGTCAATGGAATTTAGTTTAACATTACCAGTAAGTTTTCGTCGTTGAATGTTGTTGTCGTCGCGATAAAAGCGTTTTAAATAGGGACAAAGAGAGAGAGATATACAATGAAACATTCTTATGCAAATAGAAAACATTTTTAAACGAAGAGAATTTCTTTTCTAGATTACACGATTAATGCCTAAAGCGATATCAAAAAAAGTGCTGAGACTCAATTAAACATCGATGACTTGCTGCTTCAATTTCTCTTGCATTTGAGCGAGCATCTCTTGCATGCGTCGTATTTCTTCTTCTTTCTGTAACAGCAGCTTGTCCGTTTCGGTGACAACAGGAACAACAATCTCTCCAGTTGGCGTTTTAATCGAATCACTTCGCACCTTACCTGATTTGGCATTCTGTGCCATTTGAGCGATGCACTGAGCGCGGAAATTCTCATAGTGAACATCTTGTGTTGTGTCGTTAAGATCTTGCATGTGAGTGGAAATCAGCATTGTTCGAAGTTTTATAAAGTCGCTGTGCATTGGATTTTCAACTAAACATTGTTAACAAAAAAGAGAAACAGAAACATTTGTTTACTCATTAATATCATTGAACTGAAGTGACAAGCAAATATGTACCGTCAACTACACCCCAAGGATATTGTCGACCACGAAACTTCTTCCCACCAACTTCAAATATTGCATTCGATCCCACGACTGCAAATGGAATGCTCTGCTTCATTTCCGCATCTTGCCTTTTAAAATCATCATCCTCATCCGAATCACATTCAGGAAACTTGTACAACTGAATGCCATTCGCTTCAACATCTCGTAAAATGTTTGCCTTTAACCTCTTCACTTCAGATTGTGTCAGCGTGTCCGCTTTCGTTATCACGATCACAATGTTCACTTTTTTGTGTAAGCGACGCATCATCTCCAAATCCATTTGACGTAAACTGTTTGGAAAGTTATTGTGGTAAGTAATAATAATAATAGTAATGAGAATGAGAATTAATAATGGACAACATGGAGAAGAAGATATGCAGCAGTTAATGTGGCCTTTCACAACACAAAAACGACCAAAACGAAAGTCAAACCGTGGAAAAATTTATCTTCTTTCTTCATTTAACTCAACTCATCGTTGTCGTTATTGTTGACTAAGCAGATATAAGCGAAGCACAAACAACACGATAGTGGGGAAAAAAAGTTTATTAAACAAATGTGTGGATAGTACTAACCTATGTCCCCAAGGTGGCACTGCATAAAGACAACAGTGAACACGATTATCTTGAATATTTTTGCGATTTAAGCCACTCTCGTCCATGAAATATTGACGAAACTGCTCGTCGATGTAGTCAGTTACAACACGCCAACTATCATCAGCATTAACTCCATCGCCAAAGCCCGGCGTATCAATAACGTTCAATCGCAATCGTACGCCTTTTTCTTCAATGTCTAAAGTTTTCTTCTCGATTCGAGTTGTTTTCTCGCTACGCTCTTCGACAGGTGTCAGTTGACGATTCTTATAAAGATCAGCAAGAAAGAGACTGTTGATGAGAGTTGATTTGCCCAAGCCCGATTCACCAACAACCATCAGCGTAAATTCGAATCCTCGCTTCACCGACTTTCTGTGTATCTGATCAGGCAGTGATGCGAATCCAATATAATCACGTTCGCGATCTGAAAGAAAAGCAATATGAAAAGCATTTTCAAATGAATGGTGCGGAAAGAAGACAATCATTTGCGAACCAATTGAAAATGTTTTATTGTTGAGAATGCGGAAAATTGTGCACAATATAAGGTGAGATGGCCGTAGACGAAGTCATGAGATAATATTTTAACTTGGATAGACAATGTTTCGCTTTAGGTTTGTGCGACTATATTGGGACAATTAGTCAAACACATTCTTCATCATTCGCAAGCATAACTTACGATGATCATCGAGAAGTGAGAAGAAGAAAAATGCGATCAAGATGAAAACTTCTAAATAAGACAATACTGAAATATTTCAAGATGAAACAACATCAAGCATTGTTGGGTGTTAAAATTTCACCACGACATGAGATTCTCACAGTTATGTATGAAGAGAAACTTTGAAGATGACCACTGGTGAACTTATTACTATTTATTTTCTCTCTTTCTCTATTGTTCCATAAAACACTCGAAATAAAAAACTTGATCGCCGTTGTTGTCTTCTTCAACACAATGATGCGTCTTTTGCACGTGCTAGTTCAAATGTGAATAGAAACCTGTTTTCAATTTTTATTCTCTTCATCTTTGTATTTCATATTTATTTAACTCATACACAATTTTGAATGTGACGAAAAAGTTATTTTGCTTTGTTTCAAAAGACCAATTAATTTGTAAGCAACAAATCGAATTGAGAATCTTAACAATTTAATTATGGAACTGAAAACAATCTGAAGTATTTCTTGATGATGAAATCTCTTGAAAAATATTCACATGCCTTGGATTGGAATCATAAACACGATTGAAAAAGAGAGAGAATGGAACTGAAATCATGTGTGGGTGCTTGGGAACATGAAACTTTATTAACTGTTTGAAATTGTTGTATGAATGTAGTTGTGTAATCTAAACACTTAATAACAATGTTGTTTCAAGAACGGGATTTTCGATTAAGCAAACAAACGAAAACAAAAATATTAAATTCCATAGAAATTCAGTTAATCGAATTCACAATGTGACACAAATTCCTTACCCGTAATCATCTTTGATTAGATTTGCTTAATTTTTAAACTTTTCTTATTCACTATTCGTCACCACGAAGATGCGCGAAAAGATTTTTTCCTCCGTTTCCACCCTTGAAATTTTTTCTTCCTTTTACTTCCGTTTCCAAACGAAATTGAGGCAAAAAGTTACAGTTTTTAGCACTTTCACTCTACGCGTTTATTTTACAACGCTTTTACTTTAATTAACAGACGTTTCACAACTGAATTGAATTAATTTTTACATTCAAAATATCGTCGAGAATGAGAGCTGAGAGAAAAATATGTCGTCGAATTTTTTTTTGTTGTTTCGAAGCCGCGCGGTCGAACACACATAGATAAGAAACCTCACTGACTCTGCGACGAGGTATTTGTTGGTGTAGTTTTTGTTTTGACTGTGATACGCATGCCTAATGACGACTGTTTTTCGGTGTTATTTTACACAAACGCAACATATATCTATGTATCTCTCTCGGAGAAACATAACAAACACTCTATCTATGAATGAATTTCTTTTCTTCTTGTTTCTTGTCAAATTTACTTGACTAGCAAGAGCAATTGTAATTGACACAATTTAGGTTGACTTGTCGTTTGTTTGCACGTGGCTTGAATGAATTAAATTGTTCTGTCGGCTTTGTATTGTTACGCATCTATTTGAAGTCAAAAACGATTATGTTTAAACATATTTTTATTATCTAATCTGATTTTCTCTTTTCCAAAATTTTTATTTATGGTTGACAAATTTTTCGCGTGCGTTTGTTTCTAACATATGAGATTGACTGCACAATGTGCATAATTCCTGTAATTTATGTTAGTGTTGGTAACATAAGCAACATAAAAGAAAAACAGACGAAAAAAATCGATAGTTTAAGGGATGGTGCACTCCTGTTGTTACTCAATGGATGTTTTCAAAGGGTCGAAGTACGAGTAGTCATTAAAAATATGAATGATGTAACACATGTTCTAAATTAATCGGAAACAGCGTGAGTCATGTATGTATGCATATGGAAGTGAAATTGAGGGGAAAACTTTCACAATGTTCTAATGACAGGGGTTGAAGAAAAGCAACACAACATTGTGTTCTAAAAGCAGGGAAATGTATTGATTATGTCAAGTCGTCAAAACTTCTCTACTCCGATTCATGATCTTATTTGACTACAACTTTTCAAACAATTATCATGAAAATTGTTTGCGTTCGTTACACAGGTGTTATCCAAAAACTAGTTAATTTGTCCACCAAATGTCTTCGTACGATAATTTTTTTCACATCTTCTGTTTGAACATGTAAATTAGTCTGTTATGCATGCGATAATTTATATTTTTCACAAGAAACTTATTGTCGCTAGGTCGACAAATGAATCGAAGACGTTCGTTAAAATATTGACTTTTTGGTATCGAACACGAAAGAGAATCACATTAAAGCTCGTATTTCTCATGTTTATTAGCCGCTCGTGTCAATATTTGTTGTGTTGAGAATATTTCTTTTAGAGCTTCGTAGATTTGTTGACATATCTGGTTAATGTGGACCACACAATAAATCGATTACGTTAGGTAAAGGTGTCATGATTTCAAGATCTCAAGATTTTATGTTGACTCAAATTACAAACGATACAAAAGATAAATTTATGTCATTGCTTTGTTGTATTCTAGTTTCAGGAGAACAAGATTTATTTGTTTCAAATTTCATTAAAATTTCTATCATCATTTCATACGCTTAAATATTTCGAGAACAAAGTAAATAAAAAAGAAATTAAATTATTTAAAATTGGAAATATTTTCAACAAACAATTAAACTTCTGTTATGTTATCAATCTCTCTTCTTTTTTTTGTTTTTCTTTTTATCATTTAAAAGAAAAGAAAAACTTCTAAATTGTTTCTCTCTTTCTTTGTTTCTAAGCTAATTTGTAATTGTCAAAGGAGTTATGTGAATGATGTTTAGTAAAGTTTTCCGAATAGAAAATAGCGCTATGTGTGCTATCTTCGCTACTCTGTGACGTTATCGTGTTGTTGTTATCTTGCGAGAAATTAAAGACGCTGCCATGTGGACGCCAAGAAATTGGGGGTGGAGATCGGATCATGTGTTCTTGAACATCAGGCAATAGGAAAGGATCTGTGTCTGTACTATCGATTTGAGAATTTAAATCTTGAATTAAGATTGCGTCGTCATCGACTAAATTTTCTTCCATATCAATCATGTTCATTTCGTCGCGTGATGCCAACTTCTTCTGAAGATATGGATTGTCAGATCTAGAAAGTCTCAATTGCTGCATGTCTGAAATAAGTTGAACATTAATATTTAATTTCTGAATATTTAATTACTTTATTTACCTTGGTCAATTTCACGACCCAGTATCCTGCCTGGAGTTAAACTTAACGTTGAAATTGACGGTTGACCAACGGGTAATGAACAGCTATAACTGACCACTGAAAACATAAAGAATCGTATAACAGAAGTGCACACATCAATAAATGTTCCTTCATGAGTACAAAACAACGAACTGTTGACGTCATGAAATCTAAATGATTGTCTGCTCGCTAACTCGACTCGTGTCGCATTCATAAAATTCTTTCACAAATGAAGACATTTCATGATTGACATTATGCGCAATTTCACGAGAATTCTAATTGATGGAAGCATGCAATCTATTTGTTTATTTAGCTACTGATCTATTTACAACGGTTAATGCCTTCGACACAATGTCACTCACCCGATGGTTCACTCCTTGTTCTCGTATTCATCTCCCTAATCTCTTCAAATCCTAGTGACTTTTTCTTCTTTAATATATTCGAGAAAAACATGAATGGAGCACCCTTTTTCTTATTTCTACTGCTTCTTCCGCTATTATTATTGTTGTTCTTCTGCCTATCATAATCATTTGATGACGACATTTGTAACATGTTAATCGACTTAAGTTTAAATTGATATCGCTTTAATCGCTCAGCAATTAAATATTTTTTATTCTGAAGCTTTTCGTGCCATTTATGAATGAGATCGATATTCGAAATGATGGAAATTTTGTCTCGAACGAAGAAAAAAATAAATATCTTGAAGTTATTTTAATAAACTTTTGAGTGCACTTATTTGTTACGTTATCTATCGTTAAATACTGGCGTGTTTGCTTTATAAATTTCACTTTATTGACATTAATCTCTGTTTTCTTTTAAATTCAGTTTCAGTTAAAATTGAGTTTCGTTACAGTTTGTGTTAGTGACAAAAGCTGAAAAAATACTGTGTCGGATTTCTGTTCCAAAAAATATTCTTCGGAGTTTTCATTCAGAAAACTTCCTTTACCTTTAGGAAAAACAAAAACGATTTTATGTTTGTGTGGGTGGACAGCACTTGCGCAATTTTCATTTCTTCAAGGGGAAGCTTTATCTGCCTACGCTTTGGTATTTTTGTTGCTTTTGTTCTTTGTGACCGACTGACATTGATTTGTATGCTTTTGAATAGCTACTTATGCAATGATTTTCATACCGACATTTCACCCATATTGTGGTGTCATCACCAGCAATGTTTAAATTGAAAATGTCTGAGTTGTAAAATGATTGAGTGAATGTATTGAACGTCTGATAAAAAAAAGTGACATGAACGAACGTCTTACTTTTTTACAATCGATACCGAAGTTTTTATTTCTGTCTTATCTGCTTGAAGTTCATTAAAAAGTATCATCGAAAAAGTTAGTTAAGATTAATAGCAACACATAAAGCATACCCGCAAAAAGCATTCAAGAGGGAATAATAATCTATAAAAATGTGAACCATCCTGTGTGGTCAAGTCAAAGATATTCATTTCTCTTTGCTTCGCCATAAAATGATTTGATAATTTTTATTTTACAACAAAACGTTCCGTATGACATTATTTACTCATTCACTATTTATATGTTCACAATGTGATTTCTTTATAAGCTTTACACTGAAAGTAAAATATTTTCAGTTTCTTTTTTTTTGGATGTTTGTAAATGAAGCTGTGACAGCGATTTATTTTTTCGTGGATTATTGTCATGATTAATTTTTCATTTAATTTAACTAAATTAAATATCAAAGTTCAAGCGATATTCTATACAGAACTTTTTTCTTCCGTGATTACCAACTAACAATAAACCAGTATTTGTACCGAAGCAAATCTTTTAAATAGCTGGAAGATCACAATGAAATCATTTTCTATTTGCTTGCTTGACTGTTGCCTCGTTTTTTGATTAATAATTGAAATTAAGATTTTATTCGTTTGTTATGGAACGAGAATATTTTAAAATAAAAAATAAAATGAAACTTCTTCTAAACTTAGAAACATTTTCAAAGCTAAATAAAAAAAAACTTTTTGATGTCAAATGAAGACGACAATAAAAAATTTTCTCGATTGGCAGAAGTCCTGAATTAAATGAGTGGAAATGTCGGAAGAGAAAACATTTCATTGGAATCCATAAACGATAAGCAAGCATAAATCTTTAATGAGTTGTTAAGAAAATGTTTTTGTGATTGCTGACTTCAACAAGAAGATTCGATGAAATGTTTTACTAGAAAATTTCTTACCCACCGTTTCATGTGAAACTTGTTTTCTCTTCTCAATCCGCAATTGCTAGTTACAAAACGAAGGTGCACTAGAAAAAATGGGTAAAAGTTCAATAAGTTTCTCATCGCTGTTGTGAAATGGAAATTTAAGTTCTTAACTAACATGCGACACACAGCGAGCGAAGCTATTTAGATCCAAACGATGCTGAAATTGATGACAAAAGAACAGCATATGTGCTCCACTATCTCAGGAAACGAAAACAAGACGAAAACCAACAGTGTCTAATAAAATTATTTTCTCAAACCTTCTTCAAGACATTGCAGAATAATATAATAAAGAAAAAATTGAAACGAGAATACGATTATGATAATTTTTACTGTTTGGCGCGCAGGCAAGAACGTCCTCTTTACTGCGCACAGTAAAATTGAAATAAAAAGAAGTTTCCTATACGTAATGTAATAATATTGAGGAAGATCACGATTTGCGTTCATGGAATTTAAAATGAGGAAAAAGAAGTTTTTTGTTTCTGGTGAAAAGTGTTGTAGAATTTTTTATGGTCAACGAGTGTCGTCGATGTTTCTTTTTTCTCAAAATAATTTTAGTTTTCCTTTTATTTAGGGTCAAAGTCAGGAAGTTCATGAAGACAAACGTTGACATTGACATTGAAACTAAATTTTTTGGGTTTTTAAGTTAATTGTTGCAATTCTAAAACACGATAAGCGACCCTACCTGATTTCTTATGATAATTTTTCTCACAGAAGAAATAATCTGGAAAGAGTTAAACGATTTAAATAAAAGTCGAATAAGCTTTAAAGGGAATTCAGAATGAATTTGTATGCAGCGTCGTTGTGGGGACAAATATAAAGAGAGTCCTGGGACTGTTGCCTTCTGTGGTGTTCGGTTTTTATTATTTATATTCAAAAACATCGAGCAAACAATTTGTAGTCAGATCTTTTATGTCCTATTGCAACAAGCACCGGATGCTAATCGATTTAAAGAGCGCATCGCGTTTACTTCTTCTGTTTATATATAAATCCAAAAACAGATATTTTCAAATGATAACGGATGACACTGCACACGGTTGAGTTTCCTTTATATTTTATGTGAAACGAAACATAAGTAAAAACGAAGCGAATGACATATTTTGGGGTACGAAATTAGATATTCAGAGCATGTCATTTTGTCAACTTCCCATGAAAATGAAGTTTCGATTGGAACAATTCAGGGACTTTACACGATTTTATGCATTTATGGAAATCAAGATCAGAATACGCAGTCGAACTGTATGTAACGCAATCTGCCTTCGTTCTCAACTCGCTGTTGTGATCACAAATGGTCACAATTTATATTACGAGTATCTTCAATTCCAAAAGACGAAGACACAAACGAAACATTTGAGAATGAAAAAGTGCTTTACACTTATTTGGGAAAGGCGTGTTATTGATCTTCGGACTTAATACATTGTATCAAATTGAAAGAGATGACACAGAATAACGTTTCTTGAGTGCTTTTCTTCTTTTCGAGAGTATTGAAAAATTTATGGACATTTTGATGAAGCTTTTCTTACGAAAAAAAGACGAAAAATATTGGGTGACAAATTACACATGTTTCATTTTTGATTAACATAAAGATTTAGAAGAAGACATTGTGTGATATTTTTCGAGATGAGTTCAAGACAGAAGAGTGAAGTCAGTAAATAATCAGCTTTTGACAATATTGACTTAAACAGCAGAAAGTTTAGAATGAAGTGTTTGGAAGAAAACTTTCTTTTGAATCATCAACACTCATCTCGTCCCATGCATTCATTCCAGGAATTTATCAACAATTCAATTCTTGTATTTCTTAGATCTATATTAAAATGCTAGAAAGCAAATACGAGGTGCGTTTCAATTTTAATATCATTGAACTTCCGAAACATCACCAAAAGAAGAAAGAAATAAAAGTTCGTTCGTTGAAAAGTAGATTGAAAAGAAATGAATAAAGAATAAATATTGAAATCACATCGAACATATTAATAAGTTGCACGTACACTTGATCCATATCATAGTTTCTTTGATTTCGAATCGTTAAACAAAATGTCATCGTAAAACTTCATAGCAATTAATTAAAAAATAAAATTTAATTTCAAGCATTCATCCTTCAACGAAGTTGTCGTTGAGAGGAAGGTGCATGATGTGAATTAAACAAACCAGTAAAGATATTTTAATATTTCACTGCTCAATTGATTGAGACTTTCATAATACATATCAGGTTGATGTTTGAATGAATGCAAGCGAAGCAGAACAGAACAAAATGAAATAAAAAGAATTTTGAATTAAAAATTCTTGTTACGATGTTTTTCAGAACAATATTCAAAGTCTTGACTTCCTTTCTGATACATTAAAAACATTAAAATGGAATAATAAAATCGATCGTCGGTGTAGAGGTTGGAAGGGGGAGGGGAAATATTTAATACGGCAGCCAAAGACAAATTTAAATACATCAAGAATCTGAAAAACTCGAATGTACTTAAATGTTGACAATCAATAAAACATAAGTAGACTTCACAATAGACTTCTTGTGCTTTTTCTCTTCTTTATCCTCAATTCAAATTCAGATTTCCGTTTCATGACCATTTTCGAAAAAAAAAAGTTGAACAGTCGACGACGACAAACAGGAGAAATTTGTATTAATTTTTAGTTCTTTGCTTATGCTTATGCATGAGTTAAGTTGAGCTTGTAAGAAAATGAATTAAAATATGAATAGATTTTCAATCCACAATCGTTTGTCTAATGTCTGAAGCATTTACATTTGAATGGCAATGCATTTATAAAGCTATTTAGCATTGACAAGATGTTGCGGGTAATTTAATGAAAATTACTCGCCGAAAATAGAAATAAGAAAGAAGTTTCTAGGTTTCGAAGAATTATGGTTTATTTAATGATGCAGTTTAGCAATTAAAAACCAAAAAGAATTGTTTATATCTATTAAGTTGTTTCACAAAAAGGGCAATCGTCGGCGAGAGTTCGTTTCATGTGGTAATCTGCATCACCACAAAGTGCACATTTATTAAACATATTAAGCAAGCCAATGAGTGCACATTCACTCAGTATTTGATCTAACACGTTATGAGATTATAATGTTTGGTAATTTGTAATAATGATCGTAGTTAAATTGCATATTTCAAAAAGGGTTTGCCACCTCAGAGCATTGTTGATTCATGATGAACATCATCAGGTAGAAAATCAAGGAAAGAAAAATTGGCTTATGCGGAGATTAAAGAAAGAGCAAACGATAATCATCACCCGAACAGTTGTGAAATGTTGAAACGACCTTCACAGCAATACTTGAAAGGAAGATCGGTTTAAAACAAACATTTCTGCGCCTGATATATTCCTTTTGACTTCGACATCTTAATTAGCGGTCTACAATTTGATTCGATAAAATTGAGACCCTCATTCGGAACGCATCTTCATTTTGTGTCTGATGTGGTGAAGAAGCAAAAGCAATTGCTGAAAATCAAACATTAAACAAACATGCCGACACACAAAGCAAAAGGCAGGAAGTAGCAATAAAAATTTTCTTTCAAATATTAATTTAATTCGATGATGTTTGGATTTTTGGTTGTCGTTGAAGCGATCAGAAATCGTTGCGTTTCAATTACAAATCATTAAAATCAATCTTTAACTCGATGAGATTCTCTTTTATGAAACAGATTTCAAGATGATACTTGAAATGTCTTGCGAAAGTCAAAGTAAAGTGCTTAAGAGTGCGATTGTGTTTATTATCATGAACAGTAATCGAGGCTTCATGTAACTTACTTTTGAATAAATGAGCGGACACATTAAAGCAATTAGCGAATTTAAGATCGATTAAAGACTTGTACAGAAGCGATGAACATGATGGTGCAGTTTCCGTTGGCATGGAAAGTAATTTTTTAACAGCAAAATCTTTGTTGATGTTGATGGAAACTTGGAAGCAATTTTGTTTACATTTTCAATCATTCTTTTGAACACCTGTGCTGTATGTAATTGCAAAAGCATATAAATATTCGATATAATCTTTGGTAAAGCACCAACAAGATCGACGTTTTGAAGATAACATTTTTCGCCGACAAAACAATCAAATTAACAGCTCGGATACAAAGCGTATAAAGGAGAATACTTAGTTAACCAAACGATGACATTTAAATACTGAAGAAATTAAGTAATGAATGAAGTAAAAGCGAAAACTCTTAATGACGAGTTTAAACACTGCTACTGTGTGTTTTCGGCAAAGATATTTAACATTTCGAGCTTGACAGATAAATGATTTTGTTGTTTCGCTCAGAGTTTTCGGATCGTGTGGAATGTCATGAAAAGAAGGGACAAGGAGAGAGAGAGAGAAAAGTATACAAATAATCATCAACATTATCTTACTGTGCTAATTGCATTCGAAAGAAACTCAAAGCTGATGATTATCTGAGATAGTAACAATGCCCTGCGGAGCTTTAAATTGTTGTTGCAACTTGCAACTTGCAAGTAAATCTGTTATCACGAATCAATGTTGTTACAGTTTTAACTTGCGTGCAGCACGTTCAATGAAGAAAGACAACAAAATTGAAATTATTTTAATTGAAAGTATGAAAAAAAAGTCAACACAAAAATATTTATTCAGTGATGTCGTCAGAATTATTTATTTAAAGACGTAAATTCGTGAATGCAGATAATTATCAATAAATTAACTTTGTAAGTTTTATCCTTGAACATTAATTTTGGTGATGAGAATGTTCGACTCGAAGTTATTTTCATGCAGGGAAATTAACATTCATTGTTAAATGTCTGAGAAAACAAGTCAAATCATATCAAAATATCGCTCCATATTCGTAAGTAAACAGAAACAGGTACAGAAAAGTCAGATTTCCCGTAATTGCATGTAAATTTCTTTCGAAAACAATCACATACAATTATTTATCACTTTAATTTCAACTTCAATTTATTGGTGGCTCTTAAGAAAGGTGCCACATGAGGAGGAACTCTTTTTACGATCAAGACAAGAGTTGTTTTTTTTGGAAATTAATTTAAATGCAATCTGAATGTCTGAAGAAATGTCGAAAGACAAAAATTAAACGTTTTCTCGTCGCAATTCGGGGAACTTCTTCTTTGAGCGTGCCCGTGAAGATATTAAAAGATCCGCACGTATCTGCCAAAAATAATGAAATTTCCATAAAACAATATTTAAAGTTGCGGCTTGTTCATTATTTAATGTTTGCTGCTCGTTGCTCTGAACACGTTAAGTTCGCAATAATCAATAATTCATTTACAAGCCTTAGTTAAAGTTTAATTTAATTACGTGACATGTAAAGATTTTTTTTAAATAAATTTTGGTGGTGGAAACACTTAAGGAAAACATTAAAATTTCCCTTTCGTTGATTGAATTTCTTCAATGTTTGGAATGTAAGGCAAACCTGTTTCACTGCAATGATATGTTCAAGTTCTTCGTTACTCAAAATCTGTGTCATTTCCTGACCGAAATCATTTGAAATTCTTAAATAATGATCTAATTATTAGCGAAAATCTTGAGAGATTTATTTGTTTCACAACCCTATAATGATGATCATCGCATTAAGTTTCTCTAAAAATAATGTGTTATTACATCTGAAGCAGGAACACATAAGTCGTGCTCGACCATCGCCATGTGAGGTCTAATTGGAGCCCACAATATGTGCCTTTCATATAAAAAGATATTGTTTGATCTTTTTTCCCTCTCTCGCTCTTTTGTTCGAATCGATTTCGACTTGATCTAAATGAAAGAAGATTTATTGTAGCAAACATCGACTTTTTCTCACATCGATCGAAATGATGCCGGGCGTCGATTATCGCCGCGGATCTTTGATTTTCCTTTCTTTTTATTTCATAAATTGTGGTCAACAATGTATCGATTTATGAAGTGATTTATTCGATATTGAAGAGTCGAAAAGTGAAATTCATATTTTACTCTCGACCGCACAAAATCATCGTTGAACATTTTACGCACTCCATAAATGAAATGATTTAAACTTCAATTGATTATCGATTATGAATCATGTTGATGATCTGGATTTTGTGTCGATTAATCTTACATTAAAGCATTTTAAGCAATGGTTAAGCTTTGAATGAAGATTAGGATCATTTTTGATGAAAAATTAGTTTGATTTGTGTAAGAGATCATTTGCGGTCTAATTTTATTACTTTGGTAATGAACTGAATCGAAGATTTTGATGATTTTGTAACTTTTTTCGCATCAATGAAAACGATGAAACGATTTAGTTTTGAAACCTTCATTAATCACAAAGCGAAATGTTACTCATATTCATATTGACATCAACAATGCCAGCAACGATAAGCCTTTAATTCATTCAATTCTAAAGGAAGAAAGCAAACAAATTTCACAAGATTTCGCTTTATGAATAACAAAACTTTTCATATTTTTATGAGACAAGAAACAGAATTGCAAAATAAAGAAGGAAAATAAAATGAATCAAATATTTATCGCAACACTAAATGACCATTTAACTTATATTATTTGTAATTCAGTAATCGTTTTCGATATGCTTCATTCTTTCTCCTTTTTATGTTCAAAAGTTTTATATGCAAAGACAAACTGTTGCCAAGTTTCAACTTTCAATTTCAAAGAATTAAATTATGCATTTCAATTGCCACTGTTCTTGTATGCAAATTAAATTGCTGATTTATCTTTGTCTAGAAATGATTTCAACTTTTTAAATTACAAAAATTCTCCAACAATTCATGAGTCATCGTTGTAAGTTTTTATGACAGTTAAACGATATCTTAATAGCAAAGCAATTCATAAATAAATCTTAAGAATGAGCAATCACAACAACCAACATTGTAAGTTTCTATTTCCACCCACTTTAAATGGTTGATTAGTTTAATTTCATCACTGTTATTATAATTCTAAAGCTTCAAGTTTAACCTCCGACCTTTAGCTGACTAAATATACACTCGAGACATGTAACTGATGATTACGTTTAAGGCAAAACATCAGTTTTCATTTCAACAACTTCGAAGAATCTCGAGAATGTATTGTACTTGTCTAAGCAGCGCAATGAAACATTCAGTTCAATACATTTTCTGAATTGATCTTTCAAATCCACCTCTCATCGTATCGGAGCAAAAGCCAGGCATCGCGTCATCTCGAGAGTTTATTTTGTTTTTCAAGTGGATATAAATGGATTGGAGAGCTTACGAGACAAATGTGCGATGTAGAAATACACATTGTTCAACATTTTTCAATGACAGATTCTTTTTTCTTCTTTGCTTTGCTTATAATATTTCTTTTTTTCGACAAATAAATTTTTTTAAACTATTTTAACATCTCATACCGGAGCTTAACAAACCACGAAAGAAAAAAAAAAGGCAAACAAATATTTATTGTTTGATGTAATGATCATCGCTGAGATTGAAGAGGCATCGTGTCAAATGAATCTAAATTTGAATATTTTCTACTTGATGGCAAACAATCACACACAACAGACAAAAAAAGAAGCTTGAACGAAAATAACATTTTTTGAAGAAATATCATCGAGATGTGAACAATGTGATCGAGTGCCTTCCCCCATTTCCAAGATGCTGTCGATACTTTGAATTGAAGTATGAATGAGTTGTTAAAGATTGAAGGTGTTTTCCTGATTCTTTTGTTTACTTATTTATTTTTTGCTTTATTTATTAAAACAAACTATTCGACATTGTTACTTCTTAACCATCTTTGAAACATTCAATTCATGATGAACTTCCGAAAGAAATTCAACATCATTTCTTTTATCATTCATTATGATTTATCGCAATGTCAAACAACATGAAACATAAACTAATGAACGATCAAGTTATCAGTTAATTTCACTTCGTACATGTTGAGCATATTTATAATCTTTCCATTCGCTTCATTCTGTTATTGCAAAAAGACGGAATATAAAATCGTATTTGTCGCTTTTAAACACAACAAAAAAAAAGAAGAGAAATTAATAATGATCCGTTCGGGAAAGAATTGCACGAGAGAAATCCTAGATAAAAACTTTATGATGCTATTTCTTCCTTCTTCTCTCATCTATTAATTTCACACCCGTTTTTTAAAACATCAACTTCTTTCACCTTAATCTCAAAGTGGTGTGTACGAAGAAGATTGTGCAATAAAAGTGTTTTATGCATGTCAAATAATCTGCTTGGTGCATTATGGTGTGAAAAACTATTAAACAAACCAACCGTGCGATATTCGCTGTGTTTTATTTATAGCTTAGACTTTAGAAGCGATATCGAGAATGAACGTTTAGAGACGTTCTTAAGAGCGGTAACGATTTTATTATTTGCTAGCTTCGCTGCTCAACCGGTTCAGAAGTCATTAAAATTTTTTTCTCTCTTCCTCTGATTAATGTCGATTAATAAGTTTTGCATAAGTTTTGTAGGATAACGTCAGAAAACCTTGGGGAGAGATTAGAACTTTTCATGGAAATGTTTTCTTCAGGTAGCTCAGTGACTACGAGTCGCAGTCGTAAATTCTCAACTCGTAAAATTGTGTTTGGATCGTTGGAATCGAGATCACTTTTTAAATTTTTAAAGCTTCCTTTAGTTTCTGTGAAGATTGTATTTTATTAGTGGATTAAGCTGCCAGTAAAATCCACAATCAAAATTATTTAATCTGATTAGCGCTTTATGGGAAGCGTAAACATTCTCATTTTATTTCTTTAGACGAGAGTAAATAATCTTTATATCGTTTCGAATAAAATGTAATACAAGATGATCGCGATTAAAAGAAATTATTGTCCACATTGATATTATTTTGAAGTCTACTTCAGGTTTCAACTGATCATCTGATAATAATTTTATAGGTTTCTGTAAATAATACATAAAACTTAACTCCAAAAGTCTTTGCAGCTTCGTAGCTAAAACGTGATCTAGAATTTCAGTGGCGACAGTTTATAGCCCAGATTGCGTCGTAAAATCTAATCAGATCACAATAAAATTTAATATCAGACGTCTTCAAGACTTTAACTTTTGAAAGTCGTTAAACTCGGATTCAAGATCATGTGAATGACTTAAATGAAACTTAATGAAGAAAAATTACTCATTCTAAAAGTGAATGTAGCTGACCGGAAAGAAAGAGTTAGCTTACAATCGCAGGAAATTTATTAGAATAAATCAGGAATATGATAATGAGTAAAAGGCGATATCTAAATCATTGAACTCTAATTCCATATCCACAAATAAACTTTATTCATTATAAATGTTAGACATGTTCCATAATTGTTTTGAATGTGAATTACATTTTTAAATAAAATCATATCATGTTGAATGTGTGAGCGATTGCTGATTGATATTCTTTACAAGCCATCAATGGCACATCCAAATATGAAAAATCGTATTAAAGCTAATATTCGATCGTGTCTCTATGGAGTTTAAAGGCGTTGATTTGATTGCTTCGTCTTTATTCATTCATAAGACGATCTTTGAACGATTTTTTATTTTATTTTCAAAGTGATTGACCATTTGAAATTGAACACGAATCAAATTAAAATATGAGCATTGGTGAATATAATTAAGAAATATTTATAAACAGCGGCAAAAACGCTTTAAGGCGTTCAATGCTTTTCACAAGTTTAAAACCTTTACAAAGATTTCCTTTTTTAAATATTCTCATCAATCGACAAAAGAAGTTTCGAGAACAGTTCCATTAATTAACGTATGCCTTTAGACGAAGACTGCAAACGAGTTATTGACATGTTATTTCCTTAATAATTTGCATATCTGAAGTGAAATGCAACTAAGAAACTCTTTTTATTTAGATATTTATTTATACAAACAAGATTAATGTGAAAAAGAAGCGACGACTCCCAAAACAACAAAAAATATGATAAATTTTAAAAAATGACATCAGTTTACGATGGGGTTTAGCTTTACATGGATAGAAATTAAGCTTGACAGATTACAAATGAAGATCTAACAATAAAGAAACAAGTTTGAGTCAACTTCTTGAAAGGTTAAAGTTTATGCGGAATCACTCATTGCTGAACGAAATTGTAAGTTTTATTTATTTTAATATAAACAGACATGTCAGGTTTCACTGAAATATTTATAAGAAAAAAAGTCTCTCCGTCACATTGTGGCCTTTTGTATTAAAATTAATAACATAAATAAGAAAAAAGAAAATGCCGCAATTTGTGTACAAACTTACTAATAAGATGTTCTGTTTCATGGCAAATAACGAGATCTCGGTCTCGATTTCAATCTTAATTTAAGGAGTTACTGAAATTAAGTCATTAAAAACAAGAAATCTCCCTTGCTGTGGCATCGGTTAACATTTTGATTTTTTTATTATTACATTCATGAGTAAGAGAAAGAAAACCAGAAATGACCAACATATTTATAAGAAATGAAATAATTTAATTTGTTTGTTAAATAAAACCAGAAAGTTATTGAAATGTCTCGGTAAGATGATCGTTTATGCTCTTACTTACTTTGCAATCGTTCGTTGCGAAATCACTTAATGATATTTCATTCGTCAAGCTTCAACCTGATTATTCAGTTTTTCACGTTGATTTGAGTTTTTTCTTTTGGAGCTCATTTGTCGTCTTTACAATTAAATTGCCCTATTTAGCTTGTTGTTTCTCTCTCTTATCCACTTTTCGACTAATTGAAGAAGATATGCGCCACGCACAAATGAAAACAGGAATAAAGACATGAAAATGCGAAATTTCTGTAATTACTCTTGCGTGTCATTGATTATGATCATTTCGTCTGCCATCGTAATTTTTTTACCTCTCAATTGAGTGATTTGTTGTTTTCAGTTGAACATCTGATGGCTAGCATCGCGATCGCGACATGTGTTCAGTTTTTTTTTTGTTTCTTGACATACGAATTTGAACTAAAACTATCTAAATGAATCAAAATAGCTTCTTTCAACAATTACCTTTCTCAGATTTGAACAATAAATTTCTCATGGGAACTAAACTCGCCCGAATTACACAAATTAAATCGATTTTTTTCTACTGAGCGCAACAATTAGAGTGAAAAAAGAAGAAGAAAGAATTTTCCAAAACAAATGCTTTTCGAAATCGTGAGATTGATTGATTTAATTTTCTCTAATGTATATCAATTATAGATTATTTGTTAAGGTTAATTCACCATTCAGCAACATTTCTTCTTCCTATATTGTTCCCTATAAATGAGGCAAAGCGGCAGCGAGAGTAAAATTACGATCAATGGTAAAAAAAATCCATCTCGATCGACGTACGAGCGGTTGAAATTTTTTTTTTTCGGTTATAATAATGGGAACGAAATCATAATTTAGATGAAACAGAAGCTTTGAAGTGTGTAATGTTATGGAACAAAAAAAAAGGTAAATAAAGGAGAAGAACAATAAAACAAATCGATTTGGTAATAATAATTTACATTAAGTTCAGATCAAAGGAAATTAAGTCAGAAAAAATTAAGGTTGAATGTTCAGATCTACGAACTATTTTTGGCCCTTAATAAGTTTGTAAAATATTTCCGTTTAAAATGTTAAATAAGTTTTTATTACCTCAGATTTGTCACTGTTGAAATAGTAAATTATTTTAAATATTTTTCGTCGCCTTTTAAATCTTATCTGCAAACTACAAAAAGTAATCTCATTGATATTTAAAATTGAAATATTTCCTTTATTGTCGTAAGCGACGTTTTCAGTGACACAAACTATTAAAATAACTAATGAGGATTTTTTTTCTATAAAGAATGTCGCTTGGAATTGTTTTATAACCAATAAAGAATATTTAGAAAATAAAAAAATCTTGATAATCTTAATCAATCGTAACATTTCTCTGATTTCGCTTTTACACCTTCGCAGTGAGAACAAAGTTTGAGGGATAATAAGAATAAATAAAAAAGTCAAAGAACCACCAGCATTGATTTAATCAATGTAACCGATTACATTTCTTCTCCTTCCCATGATACAATCACGAGAAAAAGAAATAAAGAAAAATCTATTCATTTAAGCTGTAAATACGTAGGAACATAAAATTTGTTTTAATTTAATTAAAAGCTGTGCGAGAAAATGTTTATTAAACATCGAGTGATGTGGAACAGAGAGCGAGAGATACAAAAGTAAGAAGAATGGGAGTTATGAAGATCGAAGTCCATTGATATCCATTCCATTGATAGTTAGCTTTTAAAATACAATAAGAACCGAGAGAGATCAAGAAAAACTTCCTTGCCGAGGCAGTAATGCACCTAAATAATTTCTGCAATTAATACATGAAGGCACTTCATCGATTCTCACGGTCTAGTGTAAGCTCAACCACAAATAGGTAAATTTATATGCTAGAACACATTAAATTTTTCTCGGACGCATTTTTAAAGACTCTTTTTATTCTTCAACATAAGATGGTGGTCTGGATAGGAAAATAAGAAAATTGTTGGAACTTTTCAACTCAAATGCAAATATTTTAATAATTTTTGATTTCTTTTGACAACTTTTAATTCAATTACAAATTCATTTGTCCATCCCACCATCCGACACACCTTAATTGTAATAAGTTATTTTCTTTTTCTTCTTCTCTTTTCTTTTAGAGAAAACACAAAAAAAAAGCAATAATTGCGATGCTCACCTTTTGTCTCTTTGCTTACATTTTTCTTATCTTAGTCTGAAGATTGAGTATTGAGTATTGCACGGATAACAAAAAGTGAACTGCACGCGGACAAACATAAATTTACTGGAAACATAAAAAGATGGACGGATTGGTTTTGGCAAATGCAGTCGAGAAGATATGTTTACTCCTTTTGTTTTTAAAAATATCTTTCGAAATATTTCCATTCATTGACTGCTTGTTGGGCACAATGCTCCCTCATCGACTCGACGTGATGTATGCAGTTTTATTAGGTAGGAAATGTGAATCATGTAAATCCATTAAAAGAGAAACTGAAAGAAAAAAAAGTTGCTGGATTTCCAGTATGTGTTTTACTGACGTCTTCAATGTGGCACTGAACTTCATGTATTTTAAATGTTATACGTAATATCAGTTTCATTCACGTGAACATAAAAAAGGGAGCGAAGGAAAAAAAATATTAAGAACATTTGACCTTAAGTCGTTTCGCAAATCACAAACGATTCTCGAGACTAAATCTTGATATATGGAGAAAGAGGAATGAACCATCGAAAGATTTTAATTTGATTTTCTCTTAAGAAGATCGATACTGTTCTTGGTTACTTGAAGACATGACATACTCACTCGACATCGACATCGACCACAGCATAAATTCCTAATCGCCTATCACTAGTTTGCTTCTAAATTGCTCTCCCACTGCGCACTCACCGCAAACATTTATCTCGAGTCGATAAAAAACCTTTATTTATGCTTTAAAAGTGGCCCATTATAGCAACTTGGATTATAAATTACTGTAATAAAAGTGCAAATAAATACGCAAGCTTGTAAATATGACAAAAAAGAGGTGAATTGAAGGAGAGAGAAAAAGGCAACCAATTAACACTCAAACGAAACCTAATAGTTTACGATACTTGCATGCTGCATCTCATAACATGGAGGCTTAGGTATCATGTTACGTACATTACTTAACATGAGAAATGAAAGGAAAAATCCCTGCAATTCTCTTTTCTTGAGCTTTAATGAAGTGCTTAAGATGAATGAAATTTCTGAGATCAAGAGTAGTCAAAATAAAAGAAAATTAATGTTCACCATGAACTTGAAGGCAAACGTGACGACAATTACTCTAATGCATGATAAATTTCTAAAGTAAAGTCCATTGACCTAAAAAAGCTTTTCTTTAATTTTATTGCAACATCCAACAGTTCCCACAATCAATTTTCCTTTTCTCTAAATTGAAAATTGCTCAATGTTTATGAATTTATTGTAAAATCATAAAATCTTGGATAAATAATTGTTGAATTTATATTCACCGAGTCAATAATGTAAAGAAAGAAGAAAGAAAAATGAATATTGAAATAATAGCATGTTAGCACCTTTAATTGGACTTTAGGCTTGTAAACGGTTAATGATGTAGTTGATATGCGCGACTACGTAGATATTTCTTCACTGTTCTTTTTCGAGAGTGCCATGCAATGAAATGCACTCCAGGCGTCAGCAAACACCGCTTAAAATGTATAATTCAGTTCTTTCTCATTCAATAACTTCTTTGTAGCAATGCTGAAGTTATAAAGTGGTAAAAGAAGATTATGAAATAATTGGCATGTTTTAGTTTCATAAATCTTTTGAATTCAATTCTTTTTTTCATCGTTGAAGAATACTCGGATTATTTTATGTACATACAAGAAGAAGTAAATGTCGATTGTCTATTGATAAATTAGCAAGTTATTAATTTGGGTGAAAGAATGTGTATTGAAAATTTCTCAATTGAACTAAGTTAAAACTTATAGAAAATTTTATTTGTTTATTTCCCAACAATAAATGAGAAGAGTATTTAAAAGAACTGAAAAGGAATTGAAATGTAATCGTTATAAACCTTACCCAGTACTTTACCTTACAGTTACAGTCTTTTCTTTCTGAGCGCATCTTATAAGCCGATTAAACAATGGAATGCTTAACTTTATTAGAAGAGTGTAAATATTTAAGCGTGAAATTCCGGAGAAATTTTTAATAAAATTGCAGGCAATTGAGATATATATTACCACAAGATACAACATCATTAAAGACACGATTCTAAGCAATATTCTTCTAGATTAGGGTCAGTTAAGGGTATTGCAAAGGCAAGTTATGTTCGTGGAATATGCAAAATAAAGCGATAAAAATCTTTATTTGTACGTAACAGAAGTTGAACAATTTTTATAAATCTCGTTGAATGTCGGTATTGCTTAATTAAATTGTGCATGGTTTGATATTCATCTATGAAGTTAAAATAACAATAAATATCAAAATGTATTCTTTTGGAATGAAAAATAATGTTGAAATATTTATTAACACTTGCTTTGAAAAGTGGTAAACACTTTTGTATCATTTGTTGTAATTAATTTTAATTAAACTTGATATGATTCAGTTTCTTAATTTTCCTTGACTCTCTCCTGTTTATTTCATTTCTTTCATGCTTATAAATCATAAAGGATTAAAGATTTAAATTAACTTATCTGGTCCGCTGTCGGAATAACTTCAAAGAATCATTTCTTTTTTCTTAATTAAATAAATGAGGAGAAATGTAAAGCAGAAGATTTGAATGAAAGAAAACGAGACGAGCTTAGTTGCCCCTTAAATTTATGCAATTCCAACAACACCGAAAGTCGCTGACAAAATCAAAGCAAATGAAGTGAAAATTTTTTATTTGATTGGAAATCTTTTTAATTGTTTCTTAACAATTTCGCTGATATTCATGCAATCGTCTGTTATAAGTCATAAAACATATTTGAGAAAGAGAAATATAATACAACAAAAACCGCAAGAAATGAAACGACAACAACAAAAACATTGAAATGAATTTTTTAAGATTTTCAAAAACAATCTTCAAACATTAAATAACATCATGTCAGTAAAGATAAAAAAGAAATATTCAGTTCGGCATCGTTTGATGTAATTAAAATTATTCCACAAAAAGCGTAATTCCATTTTTATATCTATAAAATTCCGATTGTTTTTATTTCTCTTTTCATTTCATGAATTGAGGCAGCAGCCCGCAGGCATGAAATTAAATGAAATTATTGCAACTGTATCATTTGAATCGAATATTATGAATATTAAATGGTTGTGCTATCAAGATAAGAAAACGATAAGAAAAAGTGGAGAAGTTTCATCCACATATTTATCGATTCATTGCATTTATCTCTTCAAATAAAATTGCTGGTAAAATGGAGACAAACGAGCAAACAAACAAAACATAAATTGTCACACAATTCACAATGTTTTGAACTTCAGTAGTGGAATAAAAAATATATATGGCTTTGATACTTTAAAAGAATTTGTGCCGAATGAAACCAAAGCAAAGATAAATAGAAGATTTAATGTTTAATGTTTACAGGTGCTGCTTTAGATAATGCATCCGCTTGACAAATGAGTTTATGTTAACTGATTCTGCATTTTACATTGTCGACATGGGACGTCAAAAGTGTTTAAACTCTCTCTCCCTCTTTCAATCTATGTGACAAATTCAAGTTAAATTTATTTCGACTTGTGAAGAAATTTTCAATAGGCAATCATTGCAAATAGAAAAACTGTCGTGAGAAGTTTAAAATGCAATTTTCATTTTTCAATTTAAACTGCTTTTAAGTTATGTAAAGTCAGAGCAGAGCGCTTATTGGTTTCATTAGTTTAGTTTGAAATTTATAGTTGTTTATTGTCCATTGGAGGCGCTGCGCTGTCCCGGAAAGCTTCCATTATCTTGGGTGAAGCTTATTTGCATCACTTTTCCAACTCGATTTTTAAATGGAAATTAAGGCAACAATACTTAATACAAATTTATTGTCTCATTATTGACAATAAATCATTCTTCGCTTTCATGTCAATGAGATCATTACAAATCCCTACACTTTTTCGGTTACTGGCGACAAAAGCGAACAAAAGAAAGAGAGAAAAAAAATTCACCTTAAAAATTAAATTTCAATAAATCTCAGACACAAATTTATACGAAATTTAGATCGGAATGCTTTCACAAAGCAACTTAATAAATTAAATGTGAATACAGAGCGGCACGTAAGGACCATTATGAAAATAAAGATGTTTTTGAGCTTATTATATTTCTTGAATATTTGTTACAAATACAAGATAGGAAAAATTAAAATAGATAAATTGTCACCACAATTTATTTAAATTTTCTTGGGAAAAAAGCATCAACAAATCATTCCTAATATATTAATGCTATCAAGAAATACGAGCTGATGTCTAGCCTGATTTAAATTCACGTACATAGCTAATGAGTGACGCATAAGTTGATGATAAATTCATTTTATATAGAAGTAGAAGGAGAAAAAAAAACGATTCATTCGACATTGAAAACTGTTGTTGAGATAAAAGAACTTTAATTAACACTTAATTGAACAAAAGGAAATCTAATTAACACTCAGTTTACACCTGAAAATATTAACATTTAACAAATAATTAAGCACAATGGATTGGAATGCGAGATCATACAGCACACGTTGGATCATCTCTCGTCTATCTGGTTGTTATTGTCCCATCTTTTCATTTGCTTCGCATATAAACAAACTTCTAAAAATAATCGCTTATACATGCTTCGATGAAGAGAAAAAAAAGTGTGAATTAATAAATTATTCAAATGAATTAAACATTTCGGAGATGGTGGAACACGAGTGAAAAAAAGATCGTCTTCGATTCGATTAAATTGTCACATTGTATTCGAAGATATTCGTTTGTCGACTTCTTCCAAAGCGCTTTAGGACAAAGATCAATAATTAATATATCAAAATATTTTCCTCGGCCATTCAAGCGCGCGAGAATTCATAACGTAACTTCTTATTTATTCTTGTTTTCTATTCCTTTATAGATACGCGATAAATATCTTTGGATGGGAATAAGAAAATTTCATAAAATATGGTTATCGATACTGTCGAGTGGCAAGCAAGAGTGAGTGGAAAAAAAAAGTAGAAAAAATTGTGAATAAATTGTAATTTATAATTAATCCGTACATATTGCCAAACTGGATTTCCAATAATGTTCAAGCCGATCAGATTTATGATGAGACTCTTTATCAGTTCAAGTATCATCAAGTCGTAGATCTTATAACTTTATTTATTTAACACATAAACAGACGAACTGGTTGACTTCGCCCATGTGACATCGCCCAGTTTTCTAGATTTTAAATCATCGGATAACTTTGAAAAAGGTTATCAAACACTTGTTTCAAGTCCAACTTTAAACTTATTATAGTGCGTTTCATTTTTGATTTATACTGTCGACATTTTGAATTTATAAAAAGTGATTTGAAAAGCGAAACAGAGCTTCGTGAGACTGTTTGCTGACATGTTTTTGGTTTTCAAATATCATCGATCTGGTCGAATTGGACATGACAAAAAGCTATTGAAAACTTAGCTTTATTAATAGTCTTCCCAGTTTGAGAAATCATTGGCGATTTATTTTCTCATCATGCTCTCGTATATCATCATAAACTTCGACATATTGAGAAGTGTTTTAAATCAGCAAAAGTTTCCAAGATTAAAACTCTTACAGCCACGACTTGGAGTGGATTTATTTATTTACCCAGTTTTGTTTTTGACGAAGCGCTTAAAAGGTTAATCACTGAATAAACTTTTCATGATTGGAAGCAGCGCGTGCTTGCTATCGGATTTAAAAACGGATAAATATTCGCAGAAATCAGAAGAAATCAATTACTACAACATAGCAATAAGACGTTTTTATGAGCTATCAATTTTGATGCGATCATTTGCATGCAGATGGTGAGAAATCTTTGATTTAATCTAACAACACATCAACTTATCGTTTGAAAAGTGTTGCTTGAAAAAAAATATTTAAATTTCCATTTCATAATCAAAATTAAAATCACAAAGTTTTAAAATTATTTCGAAAGTTTGATAATGTTTGGAAAGCGAGAGAAATTTTCATGTTATAAATGCTTCATGGTTCTCACGATAAACACGATTGATCTATATTACATACTAAATAAATTGCATTCTCATATTTTTGCATTACAATTCGATATTTTCTTCCTTCTTCTCTCTAATAAATGCATCAACGCCGCACTATGCTCATGTTTGAAAGTGCTTCTGGTATTAAAATCTGTTGCTTCTTTGGAAATTTGCATGCTGCTGCATTTATTTTTACTTCTTTGTTGTGAATTATTTTCAAATTGCAAATCCAATGGCATCGGGAGTGCTTCGAGGCAAAATATATTTCACACCATTAACAATTCACGAAACTAGGACTGGGTACATTAAAATGTAAATTTCATGATATTGATAGCATCAATTGGAGAGCTGAGAATGATCTTTCTTGTTTTTCTGCTACTACTGAATTTATTTTCTACTAATAATAGCAAAAATATTTAATAAGAAAGTGACGTCACTGATTGATGTTGTTGAAGAAATTCTATTAAGAAAATTTATGAATCAGAAATTAAATAATTTCGTTAATTAATTCGCATTTGAAATTCGTTACAAAACTTACAAACTTCTCCACCTTCACAAACATATTTTCCATAACATTCCCATCTAAGAAGAAGTAAAGCAAATTTTCCTTGCTCTCGAATGTATTCTAATGAAGTTTTTGCTGTTGGCGAGAAATTTTTCTAATGATTTTTCATACCGAACCATCATCAACCATACGAATAGCTTTTAATAATTATCCGAAAAATAAAGAGCA